GTTCCAGGCTGGCAGCATGCTGTGAACAAAGGAACTTGTATTCTGTAGTCTCTTTAGCTGTGCTGCGACTTGGCAAGGGCTGAAGGCAAATCGTGCACCTGCATAACCTCTTCGGATTGATGAAGAATGGTATCTCTTTCCCACTTCCCCTCCCTTCACAGCAAATTCTCCCAGACGACAGCACAAACAAGCCCTAATTAAGTCTTTCCTTGAATCTTCACATTTTCCACCAACCTTTTCTTGGGTTGAGATGTGTAATTAAGAGGAAGTGGGAGAAAGTAAGTCAGGTATGAGATGCAGCTGGGAATTGCGAGTACCTAATGGCAAGCAAAGACTAGAACCTTTGCCCTGGTGGCCCTTTGGACAGTTTAAATGGCAAGAGGCCTGGCAAACTGATGGAGGAATTAAGATGCTTTAGAAGGAAGTGTTGGTTGCAATTGTATGAGCACATTTTCTTAGACCTTTTGAGTTTGTGTTTTTGCCTTTTTGTCTCTGAATAAAGAATTTCAATGTTTCTCAGCCAATAGTTAAAGATAATACATGGAAGGTACCTACTGCTTCCCTGGGAAGGCTGTGAACACGCCTTATAATTATACTAAAGGCCCAGTGCAAGGAATTCGTGCACTTGGGGGAGGCTCTCAGACCAGATTTTAAGAGTGCGCAGTCTAGACTGAGAAACCCCACCGGTGCAAATCAGGGCCAGGGAGGGATGCAGGAGGTTGGCCAGCCGGGGAGGGACCATGGAAGGGCTCCAGGACATGTTGGGCCAGTCTTGCTCAGTCCTGATTGGCTGGACCCCAGCAGCAAGCTAATCTACCGGTTAGAGCTATCGATCCCTTAATCCCCTGGTGGTCAGTGCATGTCATAGTGAGTAGTTGAGTGGCCTTAGCATATCATTAGCATATTATGCTTTCATTGGTTGAATGGCCAACTGGATGACCAGACACTTAGCATATTAGGTTTTTATTATATAGGATACAAAATTTGGGGCTTTTATGTACTTATCTGAAAGGACAGTCTCATATATTTTACAGGGAGTTCAAGACCTACTTTTTCTCCTACCCCCCACCACTGGTATTAAAGAAGGATCTAGAAATACAAATCTGGAAGGACAGCCACATTTGGAAGCCATGAAGGGAGGTTGGAACCTATAAAAGTTAGAGAAGCATGGAGGTCCAGGCAGCCCCATGAGAGACAGTAGGTGGTTAAGCTTTTGCACTTATATCAGATACATCCGAGCTCAGAGCCCAGTGTCACCATATATTAACTGTGCCAGCTGTGTGATCTGGGTAATCTATACCATAAGCCACAGTCTTCAGTTTTCTCATCAATAATATGTAAAGACAGAACATACCTCATAGAATCATTGCAAGGATTAATTAAAGTTATCCATGTATGATAGCATGCCTCCTTGCTTCCTGTTGATGTGTATAGTCTATCTCTATGTGCATTTTGAATTGTATGCCTCATTCCAGGCCAAGCATCCTGTGCAGGCCTCAGAAGGCTGAGTTATGTTCTGCTATTTGGTTGTTGTTGTTTTTCCTGCTCTCTTTAGAAAAGTAAGAGCGTGAGGTGGTGTCCTTGACTGAATGTCCTTTTTCCAGCTCCCTCAGCTGGCCGGCCAGGATGAGAGCAGCATATTTGCATTTTTCCAAGCAGTGTAGGCAGCAATAAAAGCTAGGAACCTGGAGCCTGGAGCGAAGGGTCTCTCATGGAATGAGACCAAATTACGTAGTCCTGGGGTGTGTGTGTGTGTGTGTGGGGTAGGGCCTATAGCCTGCAACGCCCCAGGTGGCAGCTGCCTCAGGCAGCCTCCGAAGCCAACTCTGTGGCCTAGTTCCTTTTGTAATTTCCACAATAGACCAGAAGATGGAGCTCTTGACTCTGAAGTCAAGGGCCAGGGGCTCTGACTTGTTTTATGATTGAACTGGAGGGAAATCAGACCCATCAGAGCTCCTGGGAACCCTCTACTTCCTTAATTCCTCTCGTTACTCTGACCACTCAAGCCCACTCCCATGGCTGGGAGCTGTCTTTCCGGGGGGAGGAAAGTGTGGGCATATTTTTCCTTTGGTCGCCATCTTTGGCTCTCCTGAATTACCACGTTGCCAGAGCTAGTCTAACTGACTCCCTGCCCCAGGTTGTCTCCTCTAATTGGCTTGCCCCTAATGGCAGATGTTGGCAATGGTACCACGTACATGGGATATGCTGCATGGAGGCCAAGAACTAGTGGAATCAGACAGACCTGTCCTTGACTCATCCCACAGAAGCAGCTCTCCTTACCTCCTCAGAGAAGCCCTCCCTGAACACCTCATTTAGAGTAGCTCTCCCCAACCCCATGCCAGTTACTCTATCACATGACCCGTTATTTACTTCAGAGAAGCGACCACCGCCTGTGATTATCTTGTTCACTCTCCCCACTAGATTGTAAGGCTCTAGAGGGCAAGACCCTATTTTTTTGTCTTATTGCTGTTTCCCTGACATCCAACACAGGGCTGAATACATAGATTCTTAGTAAATACGTTTGGAATGAATAAATGATGGAATCCCAGCTTAATGAATCCTTAACTTTGAGAAAGCTGCTAAACTCTGAGTCTCAGTTTTCTTACCAGTGAAATGGAGAAATAATGATGTTAGGAATATTAAATGACACAATGTATAATATTTACACTATTAAACTGGGTCTTGATGCATGGAGGTGCTCTCTAAGATCACAGTGTTTCACTTTCTATCATGTGAGAAAACTGAAATCAGAACTTTGGCTATAGGTTTTCTTTACCACTTTTTTTTTTTTTTTTTTTTTTTTTTTTACTTCCTACTGCTCCCCTTTGTAACTTCCAACTTTGTCCAAATCACTGTAACCCCGAATGGGCCATGTGCATTCTTAAGTCTTTGCCTAAGAGTTAAGATGCTTATTATCCTTACTGTGGCTCAAATCTTTCTGGTCATTCCAGTGTTCCAGCGTTGTGGTCATTTGGCTTTTATATCTATATGCAAAGTGTTCCCTTGGGAGCTTGACTGACCAGGAGTTCAATTGCTTGCTATGATGTGCATTGATCACCAAGGGGCGATGTGGAACGAAGGAAGGCCATGGCTAGCAGCCAGCATCTGGGGAAGGGATGTCCTGGCTGACAGCTGGCAGCTGCTAGGGACTCTATCCAGGCACAAATTTCGTGCACTGGGCCTCTAGTATATAGATAACCAGAATTTGTAAGTAGCCCAAGTGTCCATCAGTAGATCAGTAGATAAAAAAGCTGTGGTACATTTACACAATGGAATACAGCTGTAAAAAAGGGATGCAATCTTACTCTTTGTGACAGCATAGATGGACCTAGAGAGCATTATGGTAAGTGAAACAAGCCAGTCAGAGAAAGACAAGTATCATGTTATTTCCTTCATGTGTGAAATTTAAGGAACAAAATAAACTAACAAGCACAATAGAAACAGACTAATAAAGAATAGACTGATAGCTGTCAGGGGGGATGGATTTTGAGGCTGAGTAAAAAAAGTGAAAGGATTAAGCAAAAAAACTCCCCAAAACTCGTAGACACAGATAATAGCATGGTGACTGCCAGATGGAAGGAGTGGTGGGGGTAGGTAGAGAAGGGTAATGGGGGATAAATGGTGATGGAAGGAGACTAGACTTGGGATGGTGAACACACCATATAATATAGAGATGATGTGTTATAAGAATTGTACACCTGAAACTATATAATTTTATTTACCAATGTCACCCCAATAAATTCAATTAAAATATATTGACTTTGAAGAAAGGTTAAGAATTTGGTGGGAAATGATGGGGTGGATGCCGGAGTCAAGGGACATGTTTAGTGTAGAGAATGACAGAGACTGTGGCAATGAATGTTAAGACTCAGAAACAGGACCAGGAGCATATAAAGATTAGCAATATGGTTTTACCTCAGGTATCCTGAAGCACAACCTTGTCTCTCATTTTAGGGACAGTGCAAGGAGTGGGATGCAGGGTTGGAATTTTAATATGTCCCTATTTATCTTCAGGTGTAGCTTCTGTGGAGACAGGAGGATGATTTGCAACAGTTCTTTTTGTTCTAATGTGACTCACCTACAGCCTGATGTAATAGTACATACAAAGGAAAAGGACCCTTCCCTTCGCTTGGGGACAGGGGATTGGTTGGATGATGGTCAAACTCTCTTTTCTTTAAAGCAGGTATCAAATGGAATGTGTTACTCATGATTTTCCAACGTTGCCTTAAACAACTAGTTCTTGTTATTAAGTAATAATTTGCCTTCTTGGAAAAGTTGGAAGCATTTTTGTGTTATTACTTCAACCACCATCGTTAGTTCACCCCTGTGCTTTTGGCTGCCAACCTGAGACCCAGGGAGGAGACCTAAGTCCTAGCGAGGCTGTGGAGGGGACAGGATCACTGCCCGCGTGTGCTTATCTTTAACGCTCCTTAATCTGGCCACGAGCTCAGAGATTAGCAAGTATTCTCGTCCTTTTCCCTCATCCTCAATTACTTCCTTCTGCAATCCCCCCAAGGGACGTTTCCCCAGAATTTAAAAATCATCCAGAGAATAAAACCAGAATAGACAAAAATCAACACTTTCCCACTTTCCCGGGGTGAGGGGCAGCTGCGAATAGAAGAATGAGATTTTTTTTTTCCGTTTCCAACAAGCAATTGCAAAGACCTTCAAGCCCTGAAGGGAGGGAGGCGGTTTCCACGGCAACCTGGGCTCCTCGGGCTGCCTCCTCCCCCCGCCCCCCCTCGCGGTAGCCCTGGGTACCGCGGGCCGGCGTCCTCCCGTGCTCCGCGCGCTGATTGGCTGAGCAGGCCGCGCGCTGATTGGCCGCGGCGATGCCTCGCGGGCCGGTGGCCACGGAGGCGGAGGAGGGAGGTGGATGGTGGACCTTTGGCTCCGGATTAGGGGTCGCCGTCGGGGCGCTTCGCTGAGACCCGCCCGGAGCGTAGGGGCTGCTGACGCTCGGCCTGGAGCCCGCGGGCGACACCGTGCTCGGCTCCGCCATGCGCGCGGCGAGTAGCGAGCCGGACGGCGTCCTCCGCTATCAGGTAGGGCCCGCCTCCCGCCCCTCCCCGGGCTCAGCCTCCTCATCCCCTGCCCACCTCCCCGCCTCTGCCCCCCGGCTGGGCTCCGCGGCCACTCCCCGAGGGCGAGGGGAGGCCGTCCCGGGACACCAGGGGGCGCTCGGCGAGGCTGGGCACCGGGCAGGGACTGCGAGCGGGTGGGTGACCTTGGGCCGAACCCGGGCGCTGGCGGATCGCCGCCGCATCCAGTGTGACCTCCGTTCTCCTGGGGCCTCCCTGTCAGGGGGGAGGCCGGCTTCTGGCCTCGCCGCCGTGTGGAGCAGGAACGTGGGAGAAAGCGTAGCCAGGGGCCATCCTTTGGGGAAGCAGGTGTCCTCATTGTGTTATTTCTGGGGGTTTCTGGAAGCGCTGGGGAGATGGGAGGGAGGCTGGGACCAGACCCTGGTAGTGTGTCCAGCTTTCTGACTCCCTCATGGCGCAGGCATCTGACAAGTTCTGGGTGGGGAAGCAGAAATGGGCTGGGGAGGCGTTGAGGAGTCAGGAACAGTGTTTACTTAAGAGAAGGAGGGAAACCAGGTGTCAGTAACTGGTAGTCCAACTGTTGGGGTGACTAATGTAAGGAAAAAGCACCGGGCTGCGTGTCAGCATCTGTAGGTTCAAATCTCATACAGGCTTGGTGACCTTGAGTGAGCCCCCTGCCCCCTTTAGCCTCAGTTTCCCATCTAGTAAAATGGGAATGGTAACCCCTGCTTTGGTTTGAGGGCAAGACGAGGTGCTGCTTGTGAAAGGGCTTAGTGAAATAATGTTTATGGCGAGGCGACCAGTAAGTGAGTGGTACCTTACTCAGTTCTGGACGATGACACCCCCTCCCCCCCGCTTGCCTGGTGCGATCAGGTGTCACCGTTACTGCCCTGGAAAGAGGGACTGATTGAAGAGAGGGCCTAGTCTGAAGTGGGAGGCTGTGAAGAGAAGGATGGACCTTCTTGGGAAGGATGATGGGTCTTGGAAACAAGTGCCACATTGACATCAGGGATGGTTTCTGTAAGGAGTCAGCAAAAGCACTGAGTTTGTAGCAGAATGGGTATCAGATACTGACTCTCTCCTTCCTGTGGTAGTTTGCTACTAGAAGATCTATAATTCCTTCTTTGTTTGCTCCATCAAAAAGGAATCTTATCTAAGGTTTTGGAAATCCTTATCTAATCTGTTAAGGTCTATTAAGTGTATCATTCACTTACATTTGGAATACAATGATGAACTAAAATAGGCAATGCTTTTGCTCTTTGGAGCTTCTAGTCTAGTGTGTGAGTGTGTGTGTGTGTGTGTGTGTGTGTGTGTGTGTGTTTGGAGGATAATCACACGTAAATGTTTTATAAACTGTGATAAGTTCTTTGAAAGAAAGACAGACAAAATATGGACAAAGATCTAAAGAATAAGTGTCTCCTGAGGGAAGAGGGAGCTCAAAGGGCCTTGGAGACACAAAGAGCACCATGTGCAAAAGTCCTGTGGCAGGAGGGGGTACATCTGGCTATTAGGCCTGAAAGAGGGCCTGCGTGGCTAGAGCCACAGAGTAAATGAGGGGAACGGTGTGAGACATACTCTGGTGTCATAATATACAAGGCCATTGTGGCCCATGCTGAGGAAGCTGGTATTTCTCTGAGGAACAAGGAGAAGACACTCTATAGAGAGCAAAAGAAGAGAGAGGGAGAGGGAGGAAGGAAGAGAGAGAGAGCGTGCCAATGAGAGATCAGATTTTTCTATTAAAAAGATTTCTCTTGCCCGGCTGGTATGGCTGAGAGGTTGAGTGTTGAGCCAGGAACCAAGAGTTCAGAGCACATGTCCGGGTAGTGGGCTCAGTCCCCAGGAGGGGTTGTGCAGGAGGCAGCCAATTGATGAAGTTTCTCTCTCATTGATGTTTCTATCTCTCTATCCCTCTCCCTTCCTCTCTTTCTGAAAAAAAAATCAATAAAAACATTAAAAAAATGACTTCTCTGGCTGCAGTGGGAGAACAGGCTGGAATGAATGTGAGGAGACAGTGTCCTTAACGTGCAGAGTGTGTACAGGTTATATTGCCAAGGTCATAATAACCCCTAACCTTCTGTTAGTGTTCTGTGAAATAGATAATTCCTGAGTGCTTCTGGGATAAGATAGAAAATAATTACCTCCTTTACATCTAGTTCATGAAACTTTCATGGGTGGTAGGATGAGGAGAAGAAACTAAATAGAGTAGGAACAGGAGGACCTCATGAATCATGAAGGCTGAGTCAGGCGACAGACAAATGGGAACGGGGCTATACTAGCAGGGAGGAAAAGAAATGAGTGTGGAAGGAGGAAAATAAATGTCTTGTGGGAGACACAATGAAGCAACTGAAAATTACCAATTAGTCCTCCCAAGAAGGCTGTGAGGAAGGGAGATGGACCTTGCAAACCGAGGAGACTGTATAACTTGTGCAGACAGTGATTCCAGACCTCACACCCAAATAGCATAAGTCTGTTGTTTTCTCTGGTTTGGACTGTTGCACTAGCCTCTCACGATTCCCTCTGCCTTCTCTCTTGCCATTCTACTTCAGGCCTGGCAGTCAGAGGGAGCTTTTAAAAACACAAATCGGATTATGTCATATCTGTCTTGAAACCTTTTAGTGACTTTCCAGTTCATTTTAGAATAAAATCCAAAGTGCTTATCAAGCTTTAACATGATCAAGGCCTCGACTCCCCTCTCTGACTGCCTCTCTTCCACTCTCTGTGCCTCCCTGCACTAGCTTCTTTTCTTCGAGATGGCCAGCTCCTTCATGCCTCAGGATCTTTGTTCTTGCTGTTCCCTCTGCCTAGGACATTTTTCTACCGAGGCCTTCTCATGACACAAGTGTCACCTCCCAACGGTGTCTTTCCTTGACCTTTAACCACAGTCACTCCCTTTCATACGATACTATTTTGTTTTCTTAATAGCACATATAATTCATCCGAAGTGTTCTTGTTTTGAATTCTTGTTTATTTTCAAATAGAAGTTTCATGAGGGCAGGGACCAAAGTATTCTCATCTAACACAGTGCCAGGTTTAATGCAGGTTTGTGATTCTAGATTATAGAATGGATGATTCTCCCATAGTCAAAGCCAGTGTGCCCCTCCTTAAAGAGCTTGTGGCCTTGTCAGGATTAGCACAGGGCAACACACTGTCATTGCTCTCCCTTGTATGCTCTGTGTCTTTGCCCAGATGTTCCCAGCTGGAAAATCTTTCCCATCCTCTCCAAAATATCCCATTTTAACTTCCAAGCTTCATATCACTATCATAATATAGTCTGTCTTCTCTGCTCACCACACCCACCAAGTTCTGTTTTTTCTCCCACCCCTTATGGAATATACCTGTTTTCTCTACTGCTAACCTGGCAGTTCCCTTTGATGATGATGTTTTATGTAAGCTTTTATTGGTACTTGCCACGTGCAAGACACTGTGTTAAGTGCTCTCCATGCATCATTTCATTTAAGTCTTTCAATAACCCTGAGAGCTACATGCTCTTATTATCCCCATTTTTCACAAGAGAAAACCAAGAGGAAAAAAAGATTAAGCAATTTTTTCTAATATGTGGCTGCCCCTCTTCAAAGGATGTCTCCTTAATCACTCTGCATTACTGTAGCTTTTATCTTGGATTCCTAGACCAGTGCCTGGCTCAGAGTGAGCATTTAATAAATGTTTAGAAAGATATGTGTGACAAGGTGTATAAAGGATATTATTAGAGTGGGAAGAGACTGGAATGAGGGGACCAGCGAAGAGGCTATAATTTAGGATGAATCAATGAAGGTCTGCATTATTGAATTTTGATGACATCTGTAGAGGTGACTATTGAAATTTTAGGAGTCAGTGAGCCCTTAAAGGGCCTAACAATGAAAGAAGATAAGAAAGCTTTAGGGAAGCCTAGTTTGGACTGGAACTGGGGACATCTTCAAAGTTCCTAAAATTTCTCCTATGAGCAGTCCATTCTGAGCAGAAAGAAGTGCTGGAGGAAAAGGTGGAGGTCCAGGACTTGCAGGGAGGTTCAGAGAAGGTGGAAGTGGAGGAGTGGGGAGCAAGTGAATTTGGGAAATAATTAAGGATTTTCTGTGAATTAGGCCTGCTCAGAATGGAAAGCTTTGCTGAAGTCTTGAGAATAAGAAACCCTGGTAAGTGGGTGGTCATTGAAAAGCATAGCCAAATAGAAAGCAAGTCATACTCTATATCTTAAGGTGGTCCTGAGGCAAGAGTTCCTGAAGGAGTCTTGAATACTCCTGCCCAATGATGCTGGCACATGTCAGTTAATATTTTCTGAGGGAATGAATGAATGGTTTTGTAGAGAGCAGGCCAACTTTTCTGAGGTCAGTTTATGAGAAGCAGTCAGTATTTGTTGAATGTTATTGAACAAAAGTGTCAATCATAGCAGCTCTCCTCTCACTACATTGCAGTGTACAGTCAATACTCCATCACCCTCTCCAAGGAAGGTAGTAACACATTTACTCTGGTTTGAAAGTTAGAAAGCCATAGTGTATGTGTTGGTTTCTATCGCTTCCATAACAAATTACCACAAATTTAGTGTCTTAAACAACACAAACTGATACTCTTACAGTTCTGTAGTTCAGAAATCCAGCAAGGTCTCTCAATGGGTAAAGTCAGACGTTGGTGGGTTGGGGTTCTTTCTGGAGGCTCTAGGAGAGAATCTGTTTCCCTGACCTCTTCAGCTTCTCGAGGTTGCCTGCTTTCCTCCTCTTATCTCCCTTCCTCCATCTTCAAAGCCAGCGATAATGTGTGTCTCAGACCCTGCCTTTGGTGTCATATCTTTCTCCATAACACTACTCTTCTGCCTCCCTCTTCCACTTTTAGGGACCCTTGTGATTACATGGAGCCCACCAGAGAGTCCAGGATAATCTCTTTATTTTAAATTCAGTTGATTAACAATCTTACTTCCATTTGCAACCTTATTTCGGGGTCATTATTCTGCCTACCATTATGTATTACCCAGTAATCTATATTGGACAGGAGTAGTTGACTCCAAGTGGGCTTCAATAAAAGAATCACTGAGAAACCAGAACCAGTTTGAAATTGTATGCCTTTAGAAAGCTGCTGAAGAGTCAGAATAAGAAAATCCTGGGTATTCAGGAGCTCATGGCTACCCAGCAGAGGTCTGGGACAGCTGGGACAAATCCTGGAGGAACCCTTTTTTCCTATAGGGTGGCTGCATTCAGTGAGGAAGTCAAATTGAGGTCATTCAAGAGTTGGGGATTTATGGGTCTTATTCAGTGACAGAGTCTTTTTTTTTTCTTTTAAAGATATATTTTTCTTTTTAAATATGTTTTTAATGATTTTTTAGAGAGAGAGAGGAAGGAATAGGGAAAGAGCGAGAAACATTAATAAGAGAAACACATTGATCAGCTGCCTCCTGCACGTTCCCTACTAAGGATCAAGCCTGCAACCCAGTCATGTGCCCTTGACTGGGAATCGAACCCACGACCCCTTCCGTGTGCAGGCCAATGCTCTATCCACTGGATTGAGCCGGTGACAGAGTCTTCAAGGGCCAGAATTCACAGACTTTGCTGGGTGAAGAGGAAGATGGAAATGAATAAAAAGATGGAGAACTTTTGAAAGTCTTGGGGCAGTTTGAGGAACAAGATTCAGGAGCACTAAGGATTTAAGGTAATAATGTGGATCTTGAACTGTTCTGTGGACATGAGCTTTCAAAAAACAACCCAGGTTCTTTGCTTTTAGCAGTATTAGAGTAAAATGTTAATATAAGGAATACAGAGAAACTTGAGTTCTTCCTATCCCATTTAGTTCTTGTGAGATCTTAGCCTTGATTTAGGTCTGTTGTGAGGATTAAGTGAGGTAATATATGTAAAGCACGATGCTAGACCATGATATAGTAAGTGCTCATAAATATTTGTTTCTAATACTAATTGCATTAACTCAGTTCGCTGATTAGAAACTCTGGTAGCCACTTATATATTTGCCGATTTAAAAAAAATTGGTTAAATATGTTAGAACTTAAACACTTGACTTTTTATTGTCCAGGGCAGGGGAGGATGGGAGGGTGGAGGGGTAGGATCGTGCTATTTATGGTCTCTGGAAACATTGGAGCCTTAGGAGAAGAAGATGAAAGAGGTCTTTAGAGGTAACATATCTGAGACTACCTGCCAGAAAAGAGGTGGGCTGAGTCTGGCAGGTGTACAGCCCACAGGTGGAGCTGAGCAGTAGAGGTGTGTCCGGGAGAGGGCTCCACTGCCTGCCCTCTTCCTCCTCCCCTGTAGCCTCTGTGGCTGCTTCTATAATAGGAGCAGGGCCATTATGTAAGGCTCAGCCCTGCCCCTGCCTTTTAATTTGTCCATTAACTGTAAGTGAGAATCTGGTTTGCTACTCAGCTATAATTCATTCATTTTTCAAGGCTCGTAACAATGCTTTCTCTCTCACTATGTGCCTTGCAGTTTCAATGTCTATTTAACTCCTTTAGTTCCTTTTATCTCACTGTGTTCTTGTGATAGGCATTCACATAAGCTCACAGCTGTGCGATGGTTCCAGGTCAGTGAGTCAGGAGGAAGTACAGAAAAGAGACTTAGAAACAGGGCCTTTTCTCTAGTTCATCCTTTTTCCCTCCCTCCTTTCTTTCTCCTAAACTTATATAATGTGGATAATATGATTCTAATCTTTTTCTGAGTCATAAGCTCCCCTGAGAATCTGGTGAACAGTTATGAACCTTTCCCAAGAAAAATGCGCACTCACACGTAATCCTCTGAAGTCCAGTTATAGGGACCCTGGAAATCCATGGGTAAGAGATCTTCTCTGCCATAAATAATGATGGTATCAGAGGAAATAATAGCCACTGGTGAGAACTCTGCAATAAGAACAGACCAATGAGACTTGACGTACCTTTCTTTTCATTTTTATGATTTTAAACAAAATTCATGTATACTTGAAATTTATGGGACATTTCAAGCATATACCAAAATAAGAAAGACTTGTAAAAATGAATCACCATGTACGCAATGACCTGGCTTCAACAATGAGCACACATCCATATTGATTCATCTGTTTCCACCCATTCTCCGAATCCCAGACATCATATTATTTCATCAGTAAAAACTTCAGTGTGTATCACAAGATTAAGGACCATTTTAAAAGATGACCATATTACAATACTATTGTTACATTTAAAATTAACATATTCTTTATATAATCAAATATCCATTTAGTTGTTTAAAATTCTGTGAGTGCTTTTTAAAATAGTTGACTTATTTGAATCAGGATCCAAAGTCACATTCAAGCCTGACCTTTTAAATGCTCTGACTAATGGTTTTGACAGTGACTCTGTTTTCTTTGCCAAGACAAAGAAAGTAGATGAATGTTAATTCAGTGAGTTTAGGCTGTGATTAACCAATCTAAATTAAGGAAACAAACAACAAGTCGATTTTCAACCTGAAATTTTCAGACAGTTGACCTTGCTCTTTATATTTTGCTTTCATGGTCCTTGAGTCAAAAAAATCAATCGTTCCTCACTTCCCCTTTTTTTCCAGATTCCTGCTGTGTTCCATGCTGTCAGGTGTCTGTAGGCAGTATTAAGCATACTAATTAATTGATCCTTGTCCTCTGGATATTACAAACCTGTGGGGGAGCCAACATGAAAATTTCTTAGAGAAAATATCTTATATGACTTAAATAAAAGAGTTCAGAAAACTAATAAGTATTTGCTCATCAAAATTTATTGGATATTTACCACATCCTGGACATTTTACTAGGTGCTAGTACATAGGAGTGAACATAAGTACGTACCCTCCTGAGACTTAGAGACATGAAAGCTACTTACAATGGTAAGCTACAGAATTAGACTCTGGGAGAACATAAAGAAGAAAATATGTGGTTCCTGCTATCAGGAAATTCATGATCTTAATCATAAGGTAGACGAACAAATAAGTCTAAAACAAAGGCAAGGTTTTTTTTTCCATCTAAAAGTTATTCCTCAAATAGGACTTTATATCTGAGTCTTTATAACTTAGATGGAAGTGAAACTGACATGCTTAGAAAACTGACTCAAACAAAGCAGCTATGGGGATGAGGAGGACATTGATGTTAAAGATGTATTTGAAGATTTTGAATAACGTTTATAAAGTGTGACAGTAAGTAATATTTCTACGTTAATTTATTATTTTGCATATCTGTAATCTTTCAGTGTTATCTATAAACTAGAGGCCTGGTGCATGAAATTGGTGCACGGGAGGTCCCTCAGCCCAGCCTGCACCCTCTCCAATCTGGGATCTTTCTCACAACCACTGGCTCCTAACTGTGCACCTTTCTGAGAGAGGGATAGAGAGCTAGAAACATCAATGAGAGAGAGTCATCGATCAGCTGCCTCTTGCACACCCTATACTGGGGATGTGCCTGCAACCAAGGTACATGCCATAGACTGGAATTAAACCCGGGACCCTTCAGTCCACAGGCTGACGCTCTATCCACTGAGCCAAACCGTTTTTGGCATGCTGTTGAAATTGTAATACTCAAGTGAAGGAAACGAAAGGTAGGTCACGCTTCCTTGGGAATTATATATAGAGAAAGAAGATGAGCCTTAGGATAAGACAGAGAAGATTTAGGCAGGGAACAGGATGGATAATTTCAAGGACAGAGTGTTAAACAGGCTTAGATGCTGCAGAGGTCAAGGAGACGGACCAATTACACCAAATGAGACAATGTGGTTGACATCACTTACAAAATGCCATTGTATGGATGTATAGATGGAGTGCAGAGATGAAAAGGCACGAGATCTGCAATCATAAGACTTGGACTCAGTCCTACTTCTGTCTTTTATCACATTTGTGACCTTGGGCAATAATTATTTTTTGTTCTCTGAGTCTCAGGCTGTTCATTTAAAAATAAGAAAGAGAATGGCTACCATATTTGTATCTCAAAGTTATTGTGAGGTTCACATTTAAAAAAATACATAAACCATTGTGTTTCTCTTCCCAGTGTTGCATAAAGAGTCTGACACATGGTACTTAACTGAATGTTGGAATGAATGTGTGGGTATTACGATGACTATGTTTTCACAGAGACCAGATGAAGAAGCTGTGGTGGATCAGGGGGGGACCAGCACGATTCTCAACATTCACTATGAGAAAGAAGAGTTGGAAGGTAAGAACTGCTGTTCCACTAATGGGGGAAACGGTGAGAGGCAGCCTTGTGCGAGGGACAGCTTTCTTATCAGGAGACGGGTTTGAGTTCTAACTCTCACAGGCTGTGAGACTTAGGGGAAATCACTTAATCTCCCTTAGCCTCAATTTCCTTGTCCGTTAAATAAAAGTAGGGATAATAATACCCAATAGACAGCATGTGAGATAGTGCTTTGAGCACTGCAAAGTCCACTATAAACATTAATAAGTGAACTCTTCCATGGGAATGTGAAGTACTCAGGTCAGTTTTTTGATTCTTGACAACTGCTTAGAAATACATATATATGCAAACTTTTAAAAGAAAAATACAAATAATTTTTAAAACTCAGTTTGGCTATAACATCTTATTTGTACCCCATTTACAATGTTTGCTCTTTCCTTCCAACTAAAGCCATTTCTGCCTGGTGTTTTCATCTAAACAAGAAAAGGGAAAACACGTATGTACATAGAGGCCTGCTGCACGACATTTGTGCACTGGGTGGGGGTGGGCCCTCAGCCCAACCTGTGCCCTCTATCAGTCTGGGACCCCTTGGGGGACGTCCATCTGCTGGGGAGCGGGCCTAAGCCAGCAGACGCCCCGCTCCCCCAGGTGTGCTACTGAGGAGGCAAGAGAGGCTCCCGCCACCACTGCTGCATTCGCCAGCTGTGAGTCCCGCTTCTGCCTGAGCCGTGCTCCCCATATAAGAGTGCACTGACCACCAGGGGGCAGTTCCTGCAATGAGCATCTGTTCTCTGGTGGTCAGTGAATGTCATAGAGACCGATCCTTCTGCCATTCGGTTGATTTTCGTATTACCCTTTTATTATATAGGATTCTTTAAGAGTCACAGCACAGAGTTACATAAGAATCCAACTGAGTGGACAGGAAGAGGCATTGTTATTGACCTGCTGTTTCTAGTTCACCTTATTAAGGCTCTTCTCCCTTTCTCCCTGCCCCAGCCCTAGCTCCCCACATGACCACATGTGGTGCCCTGTTTTCCTTTTCCCCCTGGGCCCTAGTTTCCTGATACGTGGTGATGCTTGGTTTTATTAGAGAACTTTTAATGAGAACCCACATTTGGCTCAAAAGCCCTTGTGAACTCTCCGCAGCACCTCTCAATGTTGAAGGCTATGCTACAGCAACTCTCTAATGACTGGGACAGCATGCGAAAAATCCTCTCTGTACTGCTTGTTCTCATATCTTTTTTTTTTTTCTTTTCCATCATCAAACTTGTACAATTCCTCAAGAAAACTTGTCCTTTGGATGAGGGGAGTGAAAGCTCTAGAGGCTGACTCAGTCTCTGTTCCCATGAGGACTTTGTGGGTGTCTCTGTGGAGGTCAGCGGGTTTGTTATATCAATGTTAAGTTTTCCAAACTATTTTAACCAGATGGAAGGGCCAGTGTGGGTTTCAGAATTGGAAGAAAGCGGGAGAAGAAAAGGGTGTGGGGTGGGAGGCTAACATTCGTTAAATGACCCTTATGTAATAGGCATTTGACTGGGGTCTTTGAACAAGTTGTCTTTTTTTTTAATCTTCTCACTACAAGGCCAGGTAGGTATTAGACCTATTTGAGGTCATCTAGACCAATGATCTCCAACACTTTCACCACATGGCACATATATATTGGCACATAATTACTAAAATTCTGTAGCATACCAAAAGCATATTGTTTGACACACACACACACACACACACACACACACACACACACGTATAATTTTGATTCATTCACACCAGATACCTATTGTGTTGGCTGTTGTCATTTTTTTTTATTGATTTTTTTTTTTTTTTTTTTTTTTTTTTTTTTTTACAGATAGTCAGAAAAATTGATGAGAGAGAATCATTTATCAGCTGCCTCTTGCATATCCCCCACTGGGGATGTGCCCGCAACCAAGGTACATGTCCTTGACTGGAATTGAACCTGGGACCTTTCAGTCCACAGGCCGACGCTCTATCCACTGACCCAAACCTGTTGTCATTTTTTTTAATCCTCACCCAAGGATATGTTTTTTTTATTGATTTTAGAGAGAAAGGAAAGGGGAGAGAGAGAGAGGAAGAAAGAAAGGAGAGAGAGAAAGAGGAAAAGAAAGAAAGGAGAGAGAAAGAGTGAGTTAGAGGGATATCAACATCTATCAGCTGCCTCCAGTATACGCGTCAACTTGGGATTGAACCTGCATAACTGGTGTATGGGCTGATGCTCCAACCAACTGAGCCACCTGGCCAGGGCACTTGTCATTTTTTAATCTGGCAATCAAAGGGAAAAGAGATCAGTGTCCCTGACTAAATAGTCAGGTATTATACATTTTAAACATTTCTTGCAGCACACTGATGTGACACCCGTTGAAAATCATTGATCTAGCCTGATAGCAGGTGATACGGAATGAAAGTTGGCTTTTCCACTCTGCAAGGGAGGATGGTATCCAGCACTAACTCCCCAACCTCAACATTTTGTTCCATTATATAAACATGTTCGTGTATTAGCCCTCCTTCTGCCCAGATAACCCTATTGGTTCTCTACCCTCTTATTGCCCCGGGGGCAATGCTGCTCTCAGTTTAGTTGTTTGGGCTCACTGGACCTTTGTCCTCAGCAGGGAGCTAACCATTTATAACACTCTTGTCTCCTTGCGAGTAGAATAATAAAATTGTGCAAACTCTCTTGAATCCTGAGGACTGTTCCATTCTCAGAGGCTAGCTGAATAATTGCCAATAGGATCAGCTTCTTATGATGACATCATCTATTCTTTGTGCATTCTCCATATTGCCATAAAAAAATAATAATCTGTGATGTCATTAGAGAGTGATGTGTTGGGAAATGGCCATTTATACATAGACCTTTTTGAAAACTAGAATCTTATTTTAGCACCATTTAAAAAAAGCAGTTTAGACAAATGGAGACAAATGGTGCCTACTTCTCAGGCCTGATGTGGTCCGAGAGCAGCTCTGGAGAGAAGAGGAATTTGCTGTGGGCTATACCCCGACTCACTCTGAGGGCAGCTCCGGGACTCAGTGCGGCTGCACTCAGAGTGACATCGTCTTTTGAAGGTATAGGATAAAATTATATTCTGGTTTGCTATGTATGCCATGGTACAAGGTTTTGTGGCTGCAGATAAATCCCTAGTCTTCCTTTCCCTTTATTCCATATGTCTACCCCATGTGACATAAACCATTTTATCACTCATTTTCAGAACTATTCTGAGATTTAAGCTCTGGACATTGTGAGAGACTTTTGTAAATGTGTTTTGTTTTGTTTTTGCGTAAGTTAATTTTATCAGTAGGAGATAGTGCATTAAACCATGCCATTGTTTTTGAAGAGTCAAAAGCAAACATTAGAATAGATTTCCAAAGATAAACTCAGGAAGAGCAATTATAGTCCATGATGTGCTTCCGTGGACTCTCCCAGTCTCCAAGGTTGCTTTAGTTAGAAGAATGGGTTTTTCCATTTTTTTCTGGCAGATCATTATTCCTAATTAACTATTAGATTTATGAATCCTAGAATAAGTTTAGGGCCTTCTAATAAGTTTTTAACAAATGTATAAAAGCCATTTGCTCATATTTATAAGTTAAAAAAAAGAAAAAAAAAAAGAAAAAGAAAAGGCTTGCATCTGCTCCACATGTTAGATTCCTCCCTGTGGTTATTGACTTTGAGTCAACCTGTAGCCCAGAGGTAGGGAACACCTTTTGTATGTGCTAATGAGTTCTGTCTGCATTCTTGGTAAACAGCATGTATGGAATGTTAAATATAGTCTCCATCTGGAGGGTGGATCTCACCTATGCTTTCTGTCCTGCTCCACAAGATTCAGTCCCAGTTCACTAAGGATTGTTCTCTGCATTTGTATACATACTTATCTTTTAAGAATTGATTTTAGAGAGGAAGGGAGAGGGAAAGAGAGAGAGAGAAACATCAATGATGAGAGAGAATCACTGATCAGCTGCCTCTGTACAACCTACACTGGGGACCAAGTCTGCAACCCAGGGATGTGCCCTGACTGGGAATCGAACCGTGACCTCCTGGTTCATATGTCAACGCTCAGCCACTGAGCTATGCCAGGTGGGCAAGTATACATACTTATTAAAAAATATATACACTGTTACATCTTTTGTATAAGTTTTACTAAATTAATACTTGTGTTTGCAACAGATAGCCTCTAACCAGTGGTGAATAACTGGAGAAAAGACTGGAAAATTGGATGGGAAGGAGGTAGAATTTGGGTGAGTTGATAGGTAGATGAAAGGGAAGAAGATTTTGAGGGTAAAAGAGGGCTAAATGGCTAGCAAAGTGACCATCGGATTAGTTTAGTGAAGTCATCACAATGCCAAAATCCAGTTAGGTCTGGATTTTACTAGTGCTATATTCATTTTCTAGTGTCCATTTCTTTGTCTTCTTTTCTGCTGATTTCATTCAGAAAATCCAAGTTTCTGCTTGAGTACCAGCATAGAAACTGATGCCTAATTTTCTGATAGGTACTTGGACTTACTTACGTAGCTCTGACCTCTGCTGGGGCTTGTTTTCATTATCGCTTGTCTCACTGTTGTTTTAAGAAGGCAGGCACTGTGGTTGGCTAATGTTTGTGAGAACTGATTAGAACTGATTTTATTTTTAATAAAAGAACTTATTAGAGAAGGAGGAGTCTTCTTAAAGATGCATCTGTAGAATGTCTTCCCTGTTACGCTACTGTTTTGCCTAGAAGGAATTTAAATATCAAGCAAAACCATACATTAGTTACTCAACAAACATTTACTGAGGTCCTTTTACACTAGTAATCTCTTTTTGCAGCGAAAAATAAAGATAATGAGACCAATGGAACCATTGTGAATTCTCCAAAGAAAGCCTTAGCCAAAGTCTTTCCTAGGTCTTGAACATTAGAACCTGGACCAGCCATCATTTGGACAAGATCTGAGAAGTCATTTGGTCCAACTTCCTTGTTTTACTTTAATGGTGTCAGTGAATAAATTAACCAAGAAAATGAGTCTAAAATAACATGGGTTCTAATACCTAATTTTTGTGTTCTCAATTTCTCTTAAGAATGTAGTTAAATAATACTGGCATTATGCCAGCACAAGCCCAGCAGAAATATTTGGAATTTGCTTAAGGAGAAGTAAAGGTCCTAGCCTGGCCAGTAACCGGGGGTATTTGCTAAGAAGAGGAAGCATATGGTTGGGATGGCTCTGTTGAAGACTGAAAGTTACCCTCAGACTGTTATTCACCTGGACACACTTAGTTTTACAACACTTAGGTCACTATTTTAGGGGTGGTTGAAATGATTCTCTAGGATCTAAATATGCTTTTCATGGCCCAAAGGTTCTTCATGTCTGCGCCTGTCTCTAACTTTCCCCCCTCCTCTCCTTTACTTTTTCTCCTTGTGCTGGTCCTACTGGCTGTCCCTTCCCCTTGGAACTAGCCACACACATTGCCATCGGAGAGCCTATGTACTTGATCTTCCCTCTTCCTGGAATGCTCTTCTCATGACCTCTCCTCATCACTGGATATCTCTTCTAATTATCTTAGCTAAAGTTTCCCTTCTCCATCCTATTCCCTACTACAGATATTCTAGCACTTCATTGTATTTTATTCATACAAATGAGCAATATTTGAAATAATATGTTTTTGTTTTTATGATGTCTGTCTTCCCCCACTAGAATATGTGTTTTGAAGACAGGGATTTTGTGCAGTTCACTGCTGTATCCCCAGCCCTTAGGACAGGACTGGTACAATTAGATAACTCCAGCCTGGGTTGACCTGAGTGGTGTACCACGGGGACCTAATTAAATACTATAGTCAAACATTGTTAGTTAACAGATGGTATTTTATTGAAGTGGTAGTTAACTACTTGTTTTCATAGTTTATAGTTTCCACTGATTATATCAGAGGACCAGAATCCCACATCTTAGCAAATGACCTTTTCTAGCTCTATATTTCTGTTTCATTGAAGTTTCAAGATAACTACATTATTTGTTGAAATCTGCCTGTCAAAAATGTCCTGAGGTGTGCCCAAATCAACAGGACTGTCCTGAGACAGTCTATAATAAGTGTGATTCTTCCAGATACTAAATATTTTATTATTCTGCCTGCCTCTCAACACTCTAACAAATCTCTGATCATCTTCCCTTCTAATCATCACTGTTACTTTTTTATTTTGCTTTCTCACTTTAGAAGTTGAGAGACAGGGGAGGATGAAGAAAAGGAGGGAGAAATAAAGAAAGGATTGTTAGAGAAGCACCCGCAGGCACTTGAACACCCGCAGGCACTTGGAGAGCACTGTCAAGGAATCCCCAAAGAAGTTGAGCATAATCTTAGGAAATCCCATTGCTGGGGAGAGAAGAAAATGAAGAGTTGGTAACTCTTTCCATAGAGTCCCTTATCCAGAAAGACTTCTCAAGTAAGTTTTTAGTTATCAAGTTGGCTAGGGTTTTCTCAATCCTCTCATGCCCTGGTGAGTATTTCATCTACCACAAATATGTTCACTTTAGTTACTCATTTCTTTTGTGATCCCCTTCAAATTAGGGGCCTTCTTAGGTCATATTATATTCTCCTGAGGAGATTCTAGGGGTTTATGCTCCTAGTGCAGGCACTAAAGATATATCCCATTTTCTGGATATGTGGAGGGGTGACCATATATAAGACACTTTTGCATTTTGTTATGTGAGGATTCAAAGAGGAAGAAGTTTTGACTGGGGACCTTGAGGATCTTGCAATTGAATAGTGGGATATAACACTGATAGAGGCTTAACTTTAATGCAAGGCATAAAATGAATACACAAGAGAATGCTAGCCAAGGACTCTGGGGATTTAGAAGGAGGTGCCATATCTGATCAGGGAGACCAGAAATAACACCAAGAAGGAAGATGCATTGCAATGAATCTTAAAGGAGTGAGCCACGTCCGTGTCCAGAAAGCATCGACACATTTATGGAAAATAATGTAGTTATCTTGAAACTGCAATGAAACAGAAATATAGAGCTAGAAATATAGAGCTAGCGGTTTGGTTAGGTAGAAGAAAGAGTGTGAGATGATGGTGGGTGCAGCAGCCAACATCATGAGGAGGAGACAGAGTCAAAACCAAGCCATTCAATTGCTCAGGTAGATGCAGAAGGTGAGCATCTCTAGATATCCCCTCACCCTGAATATTTATTTGATAGGAGCATGTATAGGATTTTAACTTTTATCTCTCTCAGTTCTCTTAGAGGTCTTTCCCTTTATTTTCCTATTGAATGTATAATTAGTCCCAAAGGAGGAAGAGACTAGAAAGGAGGCTGGGACCCTGAGCATGCCGGAGCATGAAGGGTGCTGACCATGTAGGAGTGAGCAGTTCCAGGAGGCTTGGGTTGTGGGATTTAATTGGTGTGGGAGAAAGGAAGACATCCCCTGCTGTTGTCCAAGTAAGAGGAGGGAAAGGCTTGACAGCCCTAATCATAGGATATAACCCTGAGGGCCAGAGTAGAGGTGGAAATCTAAGATAACTCTGATGTTTCAAGTCTGGAACGTTGAGAGAATGGCACTGCTGTGGACAGAAACATGAAGAAATGAGTATGAGCCTGATTTGGGATGGAGCATGGTGGTTTGCTTTGAACCATTTAGATAAAGATTTGGGAGTCATTTGTAGAAGTGAATTTTGAAACCAGGGGAGTAAAAATTACCAAAGGAAGAGAAGAAAGGGTCAAGGAGGGAAAAGTGGGAGCCTTGCTTTGATTGTGGGATTGTGGGAGCAATGAGGAAGCACAGCCAGAGAAATGCAAGCAAGTCGGAGAGGGCAGTGGGACAGGAGCTGAGGGAGCCCCGACCACCAGGGGAAGGAAGTGGTCAAGGGATTTGGGTGCTGCATAGAATGTGGGGGGCTCTCAAATAATGCAATGTATGTAAAATTTTCATTGAACTGACAGAGACGTAAGATAATGGAGATTTGGTGATAGAACTTAGGTGGTCTTTGGTGTCCCTGAGAGGGCAGTGTCAGAGGAGAGTGTCACATGCAGTGGCTATGGAACAAGGAGATGATGAGGAGAGGGAGCTAGGTTGGTAGACTGTTCTTGAAAGTGGTTTGATGGAGGAGGGAAGAGGACAGGGCAGAAACATGGAAGAGTGGCACTGCATTGGGAAAGTTTCTTTTTAAGATAAAGGAAACTTGTGCAGGAGAAATTCATAGAGGGGATGGATGGAAAGGAGAGAGGAGGATAACTGATGGAGCAGGGCTTCAGAGAGGTGGAGGGCTTTGCTCGTTAGCCTGGCAAAGAGGAGAAGCTGGGGGAGGAAAGTGAGCCAGGCTGAGGTGGAGGAGCTCACCTGAGAGGGCCCGAATTTCCCATTAAAACATGAAGAGGGGAAATGTGGTGAAGGCTGTGGATTTGAAGGCAGCGACTAAAGACGAACAGCTTTTGTGATGGAAGACATTGGAAGCCGGTCAGAGCTAGAGTGCTGAGCCGCAGCAACGGGGCAGAAATGAGGGAAGACCAAGGCTCTGTGTCGGGGGTGGGAGCATCCTGGAAGTTTCTGATTCTGGACTCCAGGCTAGGCAGGAAGGCTAACTAAGCAGGTGGAGGTGAGAGAGGCCTAGAAGTCATTACTAGATTAAAATAAGGTTTATAGAAGGAATGAGGGAGTGAGGGAAGGAAGAACTAGAGAGGAATGCTATTGGATCATTTTTTCATGTTCCCCTCTTTTTGTTCAATTATTTCATATCTCTCCCTATAACCTTAGCCTCCCTCTGGTTTGTAACTAGTCTCTCATGCTATTCTACAGTGCAGAAAAAAAAGGAAACTGATCCTAGAATATATTAGCTGCTGACATTTATTCCAGGTATCGTGTTCAGCATTTTACAAACATTACGTCATTTACTGTTCACAAAACCCCTCTGAGTTTAAGTAATAAACTTTCAGGATTCCTTTTAAAGGCAGTCACAGAGAGATCAGATAACTTGTTCAAGGTCACAAGATGTGAATGATGAGGTCAAGTTTTGGACCCAGGCAGGCTGACTTGAGTACTTTTCCCAGCTGCCTCCCTGCTAAGGCTTGTTGCAGTTGTCATAGGGCGATTGTATTGCCTTTTTAAAAATAAGTGATCAGATTGTTGTTGTAATAACAGCTAGCATTTGTATTGGCCTCTAATGTTCATGCACATTGTTTCTTTGGATCTTCACAACACTACTGTGAGGTTTGCAGCCACATGCAAGCGACTTTAGAATTCTAAGATCTCTGTATCCTTAGCACTGGAAGTCTTTGAGGTTTATCATTACAGGGTTGTGACCAGGCCCTCCTCCTCCTTCCCCCCCGTTAAATATTCTAAACTCCTTTTGCTAAGGGGGTTTTCTGAACAGACCTTCTGCTTCTTTTCAGGCCATAGAACTCTGTATGTGGGGGTTCGGATGCCGCTGGGCCGGCAGAGCCATCGGCATCATCGAACTCATGGCCAGAAGCACCGGAGACGAGGCCGGGGGAAAGGAGCCGGCCAAGGGGAGGAAGGCCCAGAGGCCCTGGCACACGGCATCGCCCTGGGGAGAGAAGGTGGGTGTCCATGGCCGGGAGGACTGATGAGGCTGAGGGACATTAAGCAGGTGGTTTTGATTCTCTGCCCTTTCTATCGAGTTTTTAGAGCTTGCTTCCAAGAAGAAAAAAATGCTTCTAAAAATTAAAAGTATCTTCCAGAAAACTATATACAATTCAGGCCCCCAAATCAATACCATAATAGGTGAAATGATTTGCTAGAGAACTAACCATTCCTTTAGATCAGATTCATCAGATTTCCAGTTTCTTGCGTTTTTATTTTTTATTTTATTTTATTTATTTATTTATTTTTTTTATGTGATCTTAGTTACTGTTTTTTTTTTTTCCTCCCATGAAACTGCTTTCACAGAAGAGATTTTAAAAAAATTTTCTGGGAATAAATAAATTTTTTAAAAAAATCTGTCTTCAGGATTATCTTAAATATGTTTCTGACGTTTTAAGGCCCCAGATGTGATAAGTATGGCGGAATTCTATCTCTGCTCGAGCTGAGGCTGGGAGCAGACCTGTCTCTGTGGTTGATTTTCCAGACACACCATCTCAGCGCGTTCAGTTCATTCTTGGCACGGAGGAGGATGAGGAGCACGTGCCTCATGAGCTGTTCACAGAGCTGGATGAGATCTGTGTGAAGGAGGGGGAAGACGCTGAGTGGAAAGAGACAGCCAGGTACGTTCCTAAACTAAACTGGGTCAGGGTTTGCTTGGGTAGGCCATGGTACCTTTCAGCAAGTGACAGGCCTGCCTGGTCTTTTATTTCTTCATGGGAAAAGTGGTGGCTGACTTGGGAACTGATGTTTGAGAGTGTTCTTTGGAGAATCTTGATGTTGACCTCTTTGTGGTATCTCTGGTCACTCCTATGCCAATTGAGCCTAGAATTGAGGTCCTCTCTTATTTTGGGGGGGCCCAGAGTACTTCATGGGCTATCTTGATATTATAGGTCTGGTTTAGAGGATGCCTGACGGGGTCACCTTGGTGTGGACCTAGCCAAGAAGACAGAGCACAGGTTCAGACTTTTCCTACAGGTGACTCATAGAGTCATTTCAGTTTTAATTTAGTGGGATTCACATAATTTTTGATATTTTAACTTCTTATGGGACAGTCCAACTTCAGAGACCTTGAGATTATAGTGTGTCTGACAGTAGGCTTTTTGAAGTAGTTTTAGAGTGGCCATGCTTATTTAAGGCTCCAACCCAAGAAGCCCTTACATTAACCAGAGCCACGTCTAAGCTCCTCTAGTAACTGACCAGTGGGCCTTGTGGATAATACAAAGCCAGCATGCCTGAGCCTCGGGGTGGGAGGCAATGTGCATAACTAGCAAAGCATGGCTCCAGCTCACATCAGAATAGCGCTTCCTTGATGCCCGCAGTCCCCATGGACGTTTTCTACAGGTAGAAAGGATTAAACAAGCCAAGCAATTAATCTTGTCATTTTGTCTTTGCAAACTGATAAAGGTCACACCGATAGGCTCTTTAAGGAGAAAAAAATCATTTTATTAATGCGATTTGTCAGTGTATCCAAATGATAGAGATTGGATCTATTTTTAATTGCATAAGTAATACATGCTCATTATAAAAATTAGAAAATAAAGATAAATAAAAAGAAAATGGAAATTATGTGCAAAACCCCAGGAATAATGAGGAATATAATATTTGGTGTCTAATACATGGATGTGTTTGTGTTTTTAAAATTTTATTTAAGTAAAAATGGAATTAAATTGCACTCAGCCTTGCACTGTTGTACAGTGTGCTGTTTTCACTTACCAATGTACCTTGAACACGGAGAGTAGATTACAATGTTCAGTGTGATTCTTTAGACATCTTTTTTTTGTGATTTACATTCAAGATTCACTCTTAAAAAGTCCCCATTTTCTATCTTTGGCATCTAGTTCTTTGTAATGCTTTCAGGTGGCTGAAGTTTGAAGAAGACGTTGAAGATGGGGGAGAACGCTGGAGCAAGCCCTACGTGGCAACCCTCTCGCTGCACAGTCTCTTTGAGCTAAGGAGCTGCCTCATCAATGGAACGGTCCTTCTGGATATGCGTGCAAATAGCATAGAAGAAATCTCAGGTAAGGTTAGGTGAAGGAAAGCAGGGGAATGTTTGTGTAAATTAAGAAGTGTGGTATAGAGCAGCGGTGGCCAACCGGTGGTCCGCGGACCACTGGTGGTCTGTGAGGTCCGAAAGGTTGGCGACTGCTGATAGAGAGGAAAGAATCTAATGGCTGTGTGTCCTTAAGCAAGTCACTTAGCGTTCCTGACCTCAACATTCTCAGCCGGGGGATGTGTTTCAAACTAAGAAACCATCTATTTCACAGAATTATGGGATTCAAGTGACATGACACTTAGTTTTCCATTTTTTTGTTCATTCAGCAAACATTTATTTTATATTTAATTATTTATGCCTGATTATGTCCTAGGCACAGGAAGTAAAGGTAAACTACAGCTCCTACCTTAAAGAAGCTCATCTTTTAGTGGGGAAAGTAGCTATAGAACAACTGATATAAGTGCAACAATGAGAGACATATTTTAACAATAATTTCAGAAAGGGGCAACTAGGAGTTGTGCAGAGAAAAGGGAGTTAAAGAAATTTTAAAAATATGGCAGCTAGGAAGACATGTATGAAATTGAGCAAGATATGGAAGGGAAATGTCTGATGAAGTTTTATGGAGTGGTTGAGTGTTATGTTACTATGTTTTGGGAATGGAGTTTGGCATGTGGGTGCATGTGAGGATTTTTTCCTCGGCTTGGCTTGATTTGGCTGGAGAGATTAAATAAGGATTTCTCCAAATTTTTCTCCATTTAAAGTATCCAAGTAGTTCTGTCTCTCTGGGATCACATGGGGACCTACCGGAGAGGTCAGCACTAATAGGATCCTGTGTCCCCTCCGAAGATTCTAGGGGAAAGTATTCCTTGATGCTTCTAGCTTACAGCTTCCAGCATCTCTCTAAGTCTCTGTACCTCTTTCATAAAGATATTTGTCAATGTCATTCAGGATGATCTCATCTGGAGAGTCTTAATTACATCTGAAGGACTCTTAAAATAAAATCACATTCACAGGTCTTGGGGTTAAACATAGACATATCTTTTAAGGGGTCACCATTCAACCCACTACAGAAGCCAAAAGGGAAGAGAGTTTTAATTCATCAATGTCAAATGCTATAGAGAGGTCAGGTTAGGCAAGGACTAGAACATCCATCAGATTGAGCAACTGGAAGGTTATTGATGATTTTATCAAAAGCAGTTTCTTTGAGGTAGCCAAATTACAGTGGGCTGAAGAATGTTTGTTTTGAGAACTTTAAGTGATAGGAGACAGGGAGAGGGAGAAGAAGAATGAAAAGTTGAGAGAGATAGAGATAGAGAGAGAGAAAAAAAAAGAGAGAGAGAGGGAGAGGAAGAGGGATAGGTGAAATAGGTAAAGGAGGACTTGGGGAGGATATTCTTATCCTGTGTTTTTTTTTGTTTTTTTTCTTCAAGATGAAGGATCTTGAAGCATGTTTAAATATTGGAGCAAGGAAACAATCAATACAAAAGTTAAGATAGAAAAGCATGGAACTTTGGCTTGAATATTTAAAATAGATTTTCTTTATTACTATTAGCACTTGGATAGTTATGGATGCAGTTGGAGTTGAGGATAGGTTGAAGTTTGGGGAGGCTTGGGAATAGGTATGTAGGATTGAAGTAAAACTGTTATGGTTTTCCATATTAGATACCTGATGTATTCATATTAATGATGAATCACAGAAATGTTAAAATGCTCTTCTTGGCTGAAACTGGCTTGGCTCAGTGGTTAGAACAGGGGATGGGGATTGTCCAGCCAGTGGGCCCTATAAGGCCCAAGAAGTCATTTGGTTTGGCCCTGCCAAGGCATAGGGATGAACTAATTAAATGTTTGACCAAATATAGCAGGCTAATTTTTAAGTTAATAATTTTATAAATATCCAATGGCTCTTGGCAGAAAAAAGGTTCCCCACCCCAGGGTTAAAGCATCAGCCCACAGACTGCAGGGTCATGGGTTCAATTCCTGGTCAAGGGCACATACCGTGGTTGCAAGTTCAATCCTTGGCCCCAGTGGGGGTGTGAGTGGAAGGCAGCCAATCAATGTGTGTGTGTCTCTGCCCCTCTCCCTTCCACTTTCTCTAAAAGTCAATGGAAAAAAGTATCCTCATTACTTGGGGGAGGATTAAAAAAACCTTGGGGGAATAGAGGACCTTTGGTAGATGACAGAACAAAATGGGTAATAATATGGGCTTTTGACTCAGACTGCTTGAGTCCCAGCTCTGCATCTTATTAGATGTGAGACTTTGAGGAATTTTGTAATGTTTGAACCTCAGTTTCCTGATCTGTAGAAATTGTTATACAAGCCACTTTTCAGAGTTTTTATGAGGATAAGTTTAGATAATCTAGTATAATTCCTGGCACATACAAAGTTTTAATAGTTTCTATTTCTAATAATAATGATTTGTTATATGAATAAAGTATAACTTACCACAGATGCTATCATCAAAGATACTATTTCAGGAAATTGTATCTCAGTGACACTGATTGAACTGCTTCCAGTGCTCACTGACCACCCCTCTCCCACCTCACCCCCCGCCCTTAACCCACTTGACTTTGGCCTCTTTGGGTCTATTGAACATCAGAGTGTTCATGTTAGCATCTCTTTTCCAGATTTGGTCCTGGACCAGCAAGAACTATTCAGTGACCTGAGTGAAAGCATGAGAGTTAAAGTACGGGAAGCCCTTCTCAAAAAGCATCATCATCAGAATGAAAAGAAGAGAAATAATCTCATTCCTATTGTTCGCTCCTTTGCTGAGGTTCGCTCCTTTGCTGAGGTTGGTAAGAAGCAGTCTGATCCACATTCAATGGATAAAAATGGTAAGATTATTAGGAGTGACTGTTGCGTTGTGTGTTTTATTATTATTATTAATTAGACATTTCATAATTAACTATAGATACTAATTGACTAGAGGATAGGGCTCTATATTCATTTAATATGCTTCCATGCTCACTTAGACATGGTACTTTTTGTGACTGGCAGGTGTGTGGCTGGTGCTCTTGTGGCACTAGGGATGCCTGCCTCAGATAGACCTCAGTGGAGCCAGGGCGAGAGGTTTGTAGGGCAGAAGCCTCAGAACTAATATGGCTTTGGGAGATACCCACTTTGGGGGTAATTTGAGGTCAGAGAAGGTAAATTGGAGATTTTTTGTTATTGTTAGTCTTCATCTGAGGATATTTTTTCTATTGATTTTTAGAGAGAGTGAAAGGGAGGGAGGAAGGGAGGGAGGGAGGGAGGGAGGAGGAGAAGAATGAAGAGGAGGAGGAGGAGGAGGAGGAGGAGGAGGAGGAGGAGGAGGGGGAGAGACATCGATGTGAGAGAGTCACATTGATTGGTTGCCTCCCACAAGTGCTCCGACCAGGGCAGGGGATTAAGCCTGCTACCTAGGCATATGCCCTGACCGTGAAGCAAACCATGATGCCCTGGTTCATAGATCAGTGCTCAACCACTGAGCCACACCGGCCAGCCTAGTGTAGACTCTTGAGTTGGCCTTGTAGGCTTGAAATTTTGACTTCACCACTTGAAAAGTGTGTGACTTTGGGAAACCTCTAAGCCTCTTTAAGTCTAATGTTCTCCTCTGTAAAATAAGGATAATAATAGGTTCAACTCCATAAGTTTATTGTGAGACTTCAGTAACTTAATTCATGTAAGGCCCAGGGGCACTCAATGAATTTCAGCTGCTGGTGGGTTTTGTTCTCTGTGGCCTGGCAGGGGGTAACTTACATTGATCTTGTCCCCACATTTATTGAGTCACAATGTGCAGGGGATATGCCTGAGAATCAATATATTTGGAAAGTTCTTCATGGGAATCTGATATGCTTTCCTGGTTAAAGATTATTGCTTACTAGAGGAAGAAAAAGAGGATTACAAAGGTGTTCAGGAAGAAGGTGCAGGAGTAGTAATACCTCTGTCCTCCCTTTACCACTAATTAGTAGGTAAGGAGATAGGCGTGTGTGGTCTTAGCTTCTTAATCATCTTAACCTCTTCATTATGAGGGCTTTTGCAGGAGACAGTTATAGCTAAACAATCATGGGTGAGGTGTGTCTGAGGGGGAAAGGGCAGAGACTCAGAGAATTCTGTTTTCTCCAAATAGGTCAAACTCTGTCTCCTCAGTCTGTTCCAACTACAAATCTTGAAGTAAAGAATGGAGTGAATTGTGAACACAGTCCTGTGGATCTAAGTAAGGTGAGTGGAGACATGGGAAGTTGGCTTATAGGCCTAAGAGTATCTCTAGTCTCTAGGCTAGTGGAACCCAGAGTAAGCTCTGGTATTCCAGCACCCCTTTTCCAAGACCAGAGCCCCCTCTGTATAAAAAACCCTCTGCTCTAGTCTTCTGCCTTCTACTGCAGCCTCGATGGGGCCAACTCAGCAGTTGGTTCCACCAGGTTCACCAGGTTCACCATGCTGAAACTGAGACTTGCCACAGACAACCCTCCCTGACTCAGACCTCCTCATTTTTTCAGATTTATTTTGGCACCTGCTCTCTAGTAGCTCCTTCTTGCCTCCAAAAGGTTTGTCAAAACAATGTATTTGCTACGATCTCCTAAAACTCCTTCATGGCTGGGACTGGGACTTTGGTATCCATGGCCTCACTTCAGTTGCTGGTTCAAGCCATCCTGCCCCCAACCTCCTCTTGCTCTAGTCTACCCTTGACATTGTCTTTCTGAAATCCAGATAGTGTCAGGTCATGTCTCTGCTCATGAGGCAGGGAGTCTTCTAAAAACTTGAACCTCTGACAAAGCACTCAAGTATTTTAAAATGGGGAAAGTTTGATCTAGAGCTTCAAAAACAATTTTCTTTGAGGAAGCATGGTATAATGGACTCAAATCACAATACCTGATTTAATAGCTCTTGTCCTGAGCTAGTCAACTTTCCCTGTCTGGGTCTCAGTTGCTTAATTTAAATAAAAACCAAAACTCTTATCCACTTTACAGAGTTCTTGTAAGGATCAAATGAAACAGGATGAGAAAACTTTTATTAAATCATAAAATGACATGTGACCGTAAGGCATGAGTAGGGTGATTGCCGTTTGAGGTGACGGCTCCCAGGTTCTCAGAGACTCTTTGGACTTTCAGGTGGACCTTCATTTCATGAAGAAAATTCCCAGTGGGGCAGAGGCCTCCAACGTCCTGGTTGGTGAGGTGGACACTCTGAACCGCCCCATTGTTGCCTTTGTGAGGCTTTCGCCAGCTGTTCTCCTCTCAGGCTTGACAGAAGTGCCCATCCCCACAAGGTAAAGACAGAAACAGCACGGCTCAGTGCATTATATCCAGACTACAGATTGTGTGAGCTCTGGGGAAAGAAGCAAGCTAATGCCAAAACTTAGGATAATTAATAAATTTTGGGAATGCCGCTTAAAATTCAGCAGCAATCTCAACGGGGTATATTTGATTAACCTCCATGCAGAATTCTAAGACTTTTAAGCCTATGACTGCACAGTACGTGCAGCCTTGGAAATGGAGAACTGAAGAGCATTCAAAGGACATAGCAAGGGCTGTGTTGCCCTCCCAGTTCGGCAGAGCCGTATCCCAGGGAAATGTCTGTGAGCGAAGGCATTGATGTCTCTTTCCACAGTCTGGTAGGATTTGTTTGGCTTGCAGATATGTCCGCATTTGTTCAAAAGGCTATTCATGCACTCTGAAGGTGGTGATTCAATGACTCAGAGCCTATGAATTACAGAGTAATTCAGAGGACATGAATTACATGTCCACAAAATAATTTAGACTCCTCTCCAAGGCTTGGTAATTTCCACTTCCTTATTCCTTTCCTCTCCCCATTATTTTCTTATTAGAGCCATCAATGAGATACAGATAACCTTGAATTTGCATTACAATGCCATGTCTGGAAAAAGTGTCTTTTCTATAACAAGGAATCAAGTCCATGAAAACCCCAAGAATTACAACCACATTATTAATGGAGTCATACAAATAGCTTCCATTGTCCATGGTGGAGCTATTAGAGCAAGGCAGCTCATACTGCTCCCTCATTAGTCGGCCTCCTTTTATTGAAGGGACCGCAATGATTTCTGCTTGATAGGCAAGATAAATGTCCTGCTGCTTAGAGAGGAGTAAGATGCCACTTCTTTAATTTTACTTACATGCTTTCATCCTTTGTGTGTGTTGGCAGATTTTTATTTATCCTATTGGGTCCAGTAGGGAAAGGTCAGCAGTACCATGAGATTGGCAGATCCATGGCCACCATCATGACAGATGAGGTATGCACCACTTCTGTTTTTTCTTCATTCACTTATAAATATTTATTGAGTATTTACTATGTGCCATGCACTATGCTAATTATTAAGGATAAAATAATTACAATTGCAATGTTGGCTGGAAGCAGTTCAGGTCACTTCTCTGAATTCTTTTTGTTGGAGGACTGAGCTCTTTGGGGGATTTTTCTTCCTATGTCATCTCTTCCTTTTTGAATAATCAAGGATTCAAAGAAATATTTTTCTTGGGAAATTATTATTGCCAAGTAGACTATTAAGAGAAAAAGATATTAAGGCTGACTTAACTTTCTAGAGATTATTATTAATTAAATGCATCCAAACTATTTACATGCAGAAACCTCAGTCCAGTTCCACATAAATGAGACCAGTTTGTGTAAGTCGGGATTGTGCTTGGCACTGTAATGTGAATGTTCCAGGGCAGCCAGACTTTCTGCCTGAACCCACACTGCATACCCCAGTGAGGACTTCACTGCTTTTGTAAATTGCAAAGGAGGAGTTTCAAGGCAGGTGTCTTAGGAGGCAGAGGAGATGGAGGAGGCTGTGTTTTATTAGCTCTCTTTGATCGGGATGCTTATTTCACAGAGAACCTTCATTAGTAATTCCATACAGTTTTTCCAACTATTATGATCAGGAAAATTTTCTTTTCTTTCTTTCTTTTTTTAAAAAAAAATATTTTATTGATTTTTTACAGAGAGGAAGGGAGAGGGATAGAAAGTTGGAAACATCGATGAGAGAGAAACATCTATCAGCTGCCTCTTGCACAACCCCCACTGTGGATGTGCCCGCAACCAAGGTACATGTCCTTGACCGGAATCGAACCCGGGACCTTTCAGTTTACAGGCCGATGCTCTATCCATTGAGCCAAACCGGTTTCGGCCAGATAGACATATCTTTAGTTCTTTTGACTTATCTCATCTTTAGGTTCTTTTTGAAAAATCATTTTAACCTTACACTTCTCTAAGTGCTAAAAGTTTTCTACATTTCAGATCCCCATGACAGAAATAAAAATCAAGAGATTGTATTCATTCTTCACCCTAACCATTGGTGATTATCTTAAGTAAAGTCATTTTCAACTTTCCCAAGGTTTTTTTCTTCTCTGTAGATTTTTCATGATGTGGCATATAAGGCCAAAGATCGGGATGATCTCCTGGCGGGGATTGATGAGTTCCTAGACCAGGTGACGGTGCTCCCTCCAGGGGAGTGGGACCCTTCCATCAGAATTGAGCCCCCCAAAAACGTCCCTTCCCAGGTAAGGTATGCGCGTCAGCCGATGGTGGCTTAGTGTCACTTGCTGAGTGCCCAGCCATGGACAAAGCAAAGACCATGTAGAGTATATGCTTGTTTTGGGGCAACTAGGATGTCAGAACAGTAGTGAGAAAATGAATATACAGTAATACAGATTGGCTCAGGTGTGATAGGGTCAGTCAGAATTACCCAGGATGAATTTTAAGCCAACTTTTGAAGAATTGATGTGGAATCACATCAATTGTGATTAATGAAGAGAGGAGTGTAACATGAATGAAACTATTTTAAATTAAAATAGCAACTTGTATGTAGAGAACAAATAGAATTCCATATAGGTTAAAGATAGGAAGGATACTCCTACTATTCAATGGACAGTAGGCCAGATGCTTTACATATGCTAATTCAGTCTTTTCAACAACATCCCCCCCCCCATGGATATTGTTACCTTTAGTTTTACCAATAAGGGATAAAATTATCTTCAAGGTTTTAAGGTAAAGTAAGATTATACAGAGGCAGGTTTGAAACTGGAACTTAGGTTATATCTGATGCCAAAGCCTCCAATTTTTTTTGTTTCTGAGCAAGGCAGAGTTAAAAGTCAGGTACTAGTGGAGAGGAGGATAAATTACATTTTTTGTGCCCCCCCCCCCCCCCCCCCAGTCAATAAATTACCCCAAATCAATAAATGCATTTGAAAGCTATAAACCCTTGGGAATTTTTTGGCAGCTTTTGGATTATTATACTCCTCCCCCTGTTAGTAGAAAGAACAGGATAGATGGCTCACTGCTAATTTTGTGGTCCTCTGTCAAAAGGAGAAAAGAAAAATGCCTGGAGTTCCAAATGGAAACGTTTGCCACATAGAAGCGGAACCGCACGGGGGCCACAGCGGGCCAGAACTTCAGCGCACCGGGCGGTGAGTTCTGGGTGTTTCACAGCCGATCCTGCTTGCTGGGCAGATGTGTAAAGGAATGAGTCACCCTCTTTGCTTTCAGCCTTCTTCTCTGTGGTATTTTAATTGCCTGGGAATGACTTTTGAAATGGAACCACTGACTATAAATATTACAGATATATCAAATATTGTATTCATTCAGGTTTCTCAGAACACCTACCATGTTCTGTTTCACCTCCAGTTCTTCCCACACATTGTTCCCTCTGATTTGAGGGAATCCTTCCTCATCTCCTGGTTAACTGCTGTTTATCCTTTGTCTCAGTTTAGGAGTTACTTCTTTTGCCGTAGGTGAGGTTAGGTGTTCCTGCTATGTGGTGTCACAGCTTTGAGCTCTGTCCCCTGCCTGCCTGCCTTCCTGACACCAACCCACTGTTCTAGCTCTTATTATACTTCGTTATTATTGCTTGATTCATTGTCTTTCCTGCTAGAATGTTTGCTTCATAAGGGCAGGGACCCCATTATATTTCTAGCACCCGCACAGTGCCCTGCACAGAGCAGGCACTCAATATAGGATGAATGCTTTTAGAATGCTGCCTGTTCAGAAACATGAATGGACTAGGTAGGGATAAGTATTAATACGTACTGAGTGATTATTTTAAGAAACTTCCTTAGGATAGAAAAATAGATGTGTGTCTCAGAATAGGTAGTCTACTCTTCTAGGCCAAGATTTTAGAGAGTGATATCCAAAAAGGAGGTTCTCTATGGTAGGCGAGAGAAGCAGGCGCCCAGACTAGGAGGTTTTATTTGCCAGGGAGGAAGATGGTAAAAGGGAATGATATTTTGGGGTTGGAGTGATATCCGGTAATGTCCCTAGATCATGGGAGAAGGTTGAGTCTGTGGTCCTGACTCTGTAAATTGTGCTAAGAATGATCTGCTGAGTGGAGATTCTCTGTACAAGACTAAGCTCATGGAAAGAAGCTTTTAACATTTTCTGTTCCCTTGCTTTCACTTTAGTTTTTTCCTCCTTCTATCTTCAGTACCTTCCCCAGTGGAAATTCATGGTTTTGTGGTTTTTTTTTGTTTTTTAACTATGGAGAGTGATTTATTTTTCCATTCTTGGAAATTCATTGAGAGAAAATGCAAAGAGCCTGAGGAGCAGGAGATAATGACACTTAACTAGCAGTGTCCTGGTCGGGGAGTATGTGTCTTGGCTGGAGGAATGTATTGAGGATGGGGGAAGATAAGTAGGTCCTGGGGAAGAATCACTGGAGGAAAGGAGGAGCCCTTTGATCGAAGGGGCCACTGAAAAGAGGAGTAACCTCTAAGGGTTAAGTTTAATATTTCTTTTAAGTGGTGTGGGGTCTGTGTTGAGTGGGGAAGCCAGGTGTTGAGAGGCAGTTCAAGGGAAGCATCTGTCCTTAGACTAGGTTCTAGGAATGAGACTGCCTTAGAGGAGGTGGTGTTTATAAGGGGAAGGGTGTTAGGGCTTGGACTTGATAATATTTTAGAGTTATGGTTTATCTTGGACTATAAAGCATGTCTACACCCCAAAATTTAGAGTTGAAAGTAGAAGAAATGAGGACAGCAAAGTTTCCTCCAAACAGATAATCATGCAGAGATAAGACTTCAGGTTTCCTTTGGTGTCAGAGGGAGAAGAAGCTAGGGCCCCAGGCCTTTTGAGGGTGGTCACTTATAATCACTTCATAGAGAGTTTAGGAGACCCATTAGATTGGATTTTAATAGCTATAGAATCTTAGAAATGGTGCCTAACATTCCACCAAAATATCCTATATAGCTAGGACCATCACATGTTTAACAACTAACCCCAAATGGCTTTACTCACAAATTCAAATGGGGTTTGAGGAAGTTCTTCTAAAATGTCATGTCAGGAACCTCTGGAATTGACAAAGCTGAAATTGGAAGGGTTATCTGAGCTCTCTGATGGTTTTATCCAGTGTCTGCCCTGTGTCCACCTATACATTCATTGTGCCTAACCAGATGAGAGAGAGAGAGAGAGAGAGAGAGAGAGAGAGAGAGAGAGAGAGAGAGAGAGAGAGAGAGCTTTTGAATGAAAGGAAGAAAGAAAGAAGAGGGAGGGAGGGAGGGAGGGAGAGAAGGAGGGAGGGAGGGAGAGAGAAAAGTAGGAGGAAGGAAGCAAGTGGGTATGATGGAACAGTCTCTGCCCTGTATCCATGCTTGGTGTGGGAGATGCTTTGTCTTCCTGAGCTCCTGAAGTTTTCTTCAGAGCCCTTTGTAAAAGCTTCAAGACACTCTGTTCCCATGATAGCCCTTTAGGCCAGGCAACCTAATGCTTATATCAGGGACCCATACTTCCATGTCAGCTTCCAACCCTAGCCCCTCCCCCAGTCTCATTTTGTAGGGGGTGAATGTGAACCTTCCCCTGCAGATGGACATCCTAGAACTTTCTGGATCCTCTAGGACTGTATAGACTAAAAATGCATTAGCCTGGGTTTTATCATTCTGCACACCATTAGTAACGTCTCCTTGAGGTGGTGCACAACCTGGGACAGAACTGGGAGACAGGATATTATCCTCATTGGATGTAGAGGTGTTTGTAGGTATGTGAATATAGACTCTAAGGCGGAGAGAAAGGAGACAGAATTGAGAACAGAACTCCGAGGCTTGCGTTACCTGGTCAAAAAGCCAAGGCTCAGACAGTGTCTCAGACCTCCCAGCATCCCCAGGCTGGGTAGGCAGTGATGCCAGGGCGTTCCTGTGTGTAACAAAAGTGTTCCTAGGCCAGACCCTTCACAGCAAAGAAGATATTCTGGAAAGGAAGATTTATATACTTAATTGTGGGTGCCACTCCTAGGAAGGGTTAATGAAAAGAAAAAAAAGAATTGCTGCTATCTCGATGATGCCCTCAACACTTCAGACAGATTTCTTCCAAAGCGCACCAGACAGATGGCTGGCTAGCCTGCCTCTAAGCCCCCAGAGAGGGGCTCCCTAAGTCAGTGCTCCAGAGCCTAGCGACCCTCTATTTTACTTGTCCTTTCTTGCATCAAGCTTACATTCATATTCCCGTGTGCCTCCTGCCCCCACTTCCAATTTGAACATTAAGGTTAGTGTTGAAAGGGAAAGGAAGTCTAAAATATGGGAAAAGCATCCATGTCTATTAATACCTGTGGTAGATGTGCATTATGGTCTGATTTTATGCACGAGTGAGATATGTGCTGACTCCATAAATAGTGTTCAAAAATCATTTCAGTAGTTTTTAATTATACTATCAATAAGAGCCTCAGATCTTTTCTCTCCCCTTTTAATTACAGCCAGGCAGACAGATGTCCTCCCTTTCTACGGCTCCCCATAAATCCATGGCAGATAAATCTTTTGTCTGTTACTCACAGACACTCCTTCCTGAAGGTGCCTCCTGCGCCCAGAGGCTGACCAATCCTGGCAGCATCTCAGGTTGCCTCAGTGGGGTGAGGCTCATTATTGCAGAAGGAGATTCTTCTCTCAGAAAAATACCCTTCAGAGGAAGGTCATTGGTGATTGAGAGATGAGAGTCACGTGGTACTAAGATGCTATGTTGGCTAAGGACCCAGAAACAGGAGAATCTTGCCCCAGATTAATTTGCAGCTGCTGTAAGTTCCTTGAGGGGCTATTCACCCAGAGAAGAAAGCAAGAAAAAGCACTTACTTACAAACTGGAGTCTTGGTCCCAAACCCTGAGGTGGTTCTCTTGTGTTCTAGGTTGGATCCTGTAGCTCCTTCTTAAGCTAGGTTTGCCAGACAGGCTAAACCGAAAGCATGTCACCAGGCTGGTTCTGCTTCTCTCCCCTCAGCCCAGATCCACGCTGGGATGTTCCTGCTGTAAATCGAGAATGGGTGAATCCCAGCTATGTCCACCCGAACCAGAGGAAAAGAGCAAGTGGGTGTGATAGAATAGTGTCTTCCCGGCGTCTGCCAGCACACTTATTGTACCAGAGAGAGAGAGAGAGAGAGAGAGAGAGAGAGAGAGAGAGCGCTCTCTTTCAAATGGAGAAAGAGGAAAGTGCTTGGTGTGCCTTTTCTCCTGGCATTACAGGTCCCAGACCTTGTGGCACAAGCTGCTAAAAAGAGGAAAGAAGGAAAGGAGGGAGGGAGGAGGAGAGGGAGGGAGGGAGGGAGGAAGGAAGGAATGGCTGGTCAAATTTCCTTTTATGAGAGAGTAGATTGTTTTTAGTTGTTTTTAAAAAAATATTTTTTAATTGATTTTTTACAGAAAGGAAGGGAGAGAGATAGAAACATCAATGAGAGTCATCCATCAGCTGCCTCTTGCACGCCCCCTACTGGGGATGTGCCCACAACCAAGGTACTTGCCCTTGACTGGAATCGAGCCTGGGACCTTTCAGTCCGCAGGCTGATGCTCTATCCACTGAGCCAAACCGGTTCCAGCTGTTTTTAAGTTTTTTATTATAGAAAATTTCAAATATAGAAGAGAGGATAGTATAATGAACCCCCATGTGCCAGTCTTGTTTCACCTATTTCCTTCCACTTAATCGTTTTGTTTTTATGTTTTCTAGATTATTTAAAACAAATAACCAGTAGCATGTCATTTTACTTGTAACTACTTCAGTATGTATCTTTGTTTGATAAGGACATTTTACAAACAACTGCCATGCCATGATTACATCTAACAAAATAAACAGTAATTCTTTAAATTTGCATGTTGCTCAGTCCATATGCAATTTTTTGTGATTGTCTTAGCCACATCTTTTTAGAATTAATTTATGTGACCTAGGATTCAATTAAGGTTTGCATTTGATTATTATGTTTCCATTCTATCACAGCCCTCCCTCCTTTTTGTCCATGCCAGTGATTTGTAGAAGCAACTGGGCAAATTGTCCTGTAGAATGCTGAATGGCTCTTGCTGTCATTCACCGTGGTACAGTTACTCCACTCTTAGAAATGACTCAGTGTGGGAACACTGCTCACCTCGTGTGGGATATACTATCTCATCCTTGGGGGGTGGAGAGGGCTCCTGAGGTCCTGCCACCGAGTCGTTGCTTTAACCCCTGAATCCATCCACCTCTGCCTCTAGTCTTGCCCCATGTTCCATTCATTACACCCTCACCAGAGTGATCCTTCCAGGTTTAATTATGTTGCTTCCCTGTTTACAATCCTTCAGTGACTTGTCATACCTTTAGGAAAAGTTCTAATTCCTTAAAACAGTTTCCAAGGCTTTTTGTGGCTCAGCTTTTCTAGCTTCTCCAGCCTCGGTTATTTGCCCCTCACACCGTCTTATCTAGTCATATCTCGTTCAGCACCTGGAACCTGCTAGGTGCTCTCACCTCTGGGTTTCATTCGTGCTAGCCCCTCCGCCTCATCGGGTTAATTCCAAGTCCATTCACTGGGCCCCTGATAAAATGCCCTGTGTTTCCATGGCACCCTCAGAGCACTGCCTGCCTCCTGCACTAGGTCTTTGGTCCTGTGTTTGCTCACTGCTGCATCTCCAGAACCTGGCACAGTGCCTGGCTCCAGAATCTGCTGCTTCTCATCAACTGCATGAATGAATTATTATGCTAATTTATCAAGTGTAAGGTGGATAGAAAGTACATGTGAAAGAGGCTTTTTATCTAGAAAAGATGTAATAATCCTAACAATTTTAATTCTTTGAATGAGTTTTTGCACATTTCCTCATAACAGCTCAAATTTGAAGTTTAAAACTAATAATTTCACATTAATTTTTTGGAACTTTCTATTGAATGGGTAATATACACACCTAAATTAATTCTTTTTATGCTTAGGATAACCATTCAAATGCATGACCTTGGTTGCAAATACAGTCTGTACTGACCCCAGTCAGTACTCTTGCTAAGATGAAGTACATGCAAACGATTCGTTGGGGCACGCATGAGAACTAAGACAGGAATGTACGTAAGCCCACATGACTCATTGCAGATGGGCTGTGGACTCAGTGATGATTTTTCTCCCCTCTCAGAATGGAAATGAATCTTGTGCTTGGGGTAGAATTGAAGCCAAAGGACTACTTCCGGGCAGAGCACATTCGAAGTGCTTTTAAATGGGTTTTTGTGCTGCTCACATGCTTCTGTGAAAGAGGGACTGTGCTGGAGGCCTGTCTGCTTGTTCCCACAGGCTCTTTGGAGGCTTGGTGCTGGACATCAAGCGGAAGGCCCCTTGGTACTGGAGCGACTACCAGGATGCACTCAGCTTGCAGTGCTTGGCCTCCTTCCTGTTCCTGTACTGTGCCTGCATGTCACCTGTCATCACCTTTGGGGGGTTGCTCGGAGAAGCCACTGAGGGACGCATAGTAAGAACTTCTTACCACTACTCATGGTCCCAAAGGGGACATCACACATGGAGGTGGCTGCCACATCCACTGGGGGAGGAATGGCCTGGGCTGGGACTAAGGACCCAGAGTCTTTCTGTTGAATTACTGTGTATTCTGATGTCATACCAAGCAGCAACACAGTTCTTGCTTTAGAATAGACTCACTTCTGCTTAAATATCAATTTCCGTAGCTGATTGCCCAGTTGAATTGCCTGTTGCTCCAAGGGATGGAAAATAATATATTAATGTCATTTAAAAATAAGATTTAGGTGACTCTGTGTGAATGGTATTACTGTGCTTTCTAAATCTGTTAAATACTGAAGTGAGTCACTGTAGAACAGGACTTAGTTAAGGAACCACGTGTAGATGGATTTGGGCTTCTGATTTATCAAAGTGATGCCATTTACAGGAGTATTAGACAGTGTGTACACATCACTCTTGCTAAGATGAAATACAAGCAAATGATTCGTTGGGGCGTGCAGGAGAACTAAGTCAGGAATGTACATAAGCCTACATGACTCATTGCAGATGGGCTGTGGACTCAGTGATTTTTTTTTCCCCCCCTCTCAGAGTGCAATTGAATCCTTGTTCGGAGCCTCCATGACTGGGATTGCCTACTCCTTGTTTGCAGGACAGGCTCTCACCATCCTGGGAAGCACTGGGCCAGTGCTTGTGTTTGAAAAGATTTTGTTCAAATTCTGCAAGTAAGATACTTGGTTTACTGAAGACTCTAATGGATGTGTTATTGGGCTATTAGGCTTGAATGCCAGGGTCTTAGATATATAAGTAGGCAAACATCATTCTTGACAGTAAAAACATGAAGAATGAAGATCATTTGGTCTATTGTCCTGCCTCCAAGTAGTACCATACCTGAAACAGAAGATTTCCTAATCTTTTTTTTTAATCCTCACCAGAGGATATGTTTTTACTGATTATAGAGGGGGAAGGGAAAGAGAAAGAGAGAAACATAGATTGGTTGCCTCCTGTACGCACCCAATGGGGATTGAACCTGCAACTTGGTATGTGCCCTGACCAGGAGTCAAAACCGACAGTCTTTGGTGTATGGGTCAGCACTCCAACTGACTGAGACTGAGCCACACCTTCACTTTATCTTTAAAAAAACTTTCCCTAGCTAATTCAGACTTCTTCCATTTCCATTTCAAGTCAGTTTCAAATTTGGCCTAATATGTCCTTTTATATTCTGATTGCAATGCCCTAATTTCCCTATTTTTCCTAGAACTGGTTTTTAAATAGACTTTTGTGTTAGAAATAGGAGCATATGGAACAAGAGCTATATAGCTCTTTTTTATATGTATACATTTTTATTGATTTCAGAGAGGAAGGGAGAGAGAAACATCAATGATGAGAGACTCATTGATGAGGTGCTTCCTTCACGCCCCCTATAAGGGATTGAGCCCACACTATGGGCATGTACCCTGACTGGGAATAGACCAATGACCTCCAGATTCATAGGTTGATGCTCAACCACTGAGCCACACCAGCTGGGCCAGCCTTTTTGTCTTAACTTCAATAATAAGATATTAATCGCATTCGGCAGTAATGGCAGAAATGTGTGTGGGACAATTCTCCATTTTCCATGTTCTTGTGATAGCAGATACTACCCATGAAGCAAATCTGTGTCACAACTGTCCCATTTAAAAGCGAAACACAGTCAGAATTAGGGAGAAGTTGGGTTGCAATACTGGTATAGATAAAATGAGATGAATTAACCATGTTTCTGACCCTTTGTCTCTTCATGCCATCCATCCATGCTTTTTGATGAACTTTTGTCTTGTTTCAGAGACTATGCTCTTTCATACCTCTCCTTGCGTGCTTGTATTGGACTGTGGACCGCCTTCCTATGTATTGTTCTTGTGGCAACTGATGCCAGTTCCCTTGTCTGCTACATTACTCGCTTCACCGAAGAAGCATTTGCTTCCTTAATTTGCATTATTTTCATCTATGAAGCAATAGAAAAGCTGGTTCACCTGGCAGAGACCTATCCCATCCACATGCACAGCCAGCTGGACCACCTTAGCCTGTACTAGTAAGTATGCTTCTGCAAGTCTTTCTTTCTTTCTTTTTTTTTTTTTTAATTGAGCAAAGGGTCTGAGTTTAATGGCTTATATAGTGTATTATGCCAGGCAGTTCTTACACCTTCTGTTATGGAATGTCTTGGCCCTTTGGGAAACAGAGCTAAGGTATGGATGTGGAGACTCCTGCCAGAGGAGAACTGTCAAGATGGACTAAGATGGAAGTTGAGCATTGCTTTCCAAGCATGTCTTTTGGTTCCAGGCATTGAGGCCAAAAGAGGAGTAGTATTTGTCTGTGTTTTCAACCATCAAGAAGAGTCTGGTCCTATATAACATTTCTCCTCCGGAATAGTATTCTCCAAATGGTAACTAAAGACTTTCATCCTTTAGCTCTAGCTCTGAACCTCAAGTTCCCTCCTTTCTGGCTGTACAGTTCTGATACAGAGGGTCTGGTTGTGAAGTGGACAATTTCCACCTGAAACTGCCTTGGTGGATGGAGCGCACTGCATGGAGGTGTCTGCTAACGATCAACAACGACACTTTTGTAGATTCTAACTACCTGTTCGTCAACCCAAAAGATTCAAAATTCATTAGAATTTCTAAAAATTGTTTTATCACAAAATAACAACCATTAGGGGGTATAATCTTTGAAGCCTAATGGATTGCCAATTGGCATTGGAGCAAGTCCATTCTTTGACCTTTTTTATAATTTATTTATTTAACAAGTATTTGCTGAGTATTTGCCAGCACTGTTTTAGGCCCTGGAAAAAGTGATGAATATGATAGACAAAGGATTTATCCTCATGAAACTTGTATCTAAGTGGGAGAAGACAGAAGAAGTAATCAGCCCTGCCCTGAGTAGTCTTTGGGTCTGTATACTGTAGTTCTTTATTAATAAAGCTCAAATGGTGTTTTTATTATTTGCATTCTACTGTTGGTTCATATGGAGCTGATGTGAAGCTAGAACTTCCCAACTCTTTAAATTACTTTATGTTAATATGTGTGGAACTGATTTTTTAAATGTAATTTTTTAAAAGAGCAGGTTTAGTTAGGTCCACAGCAAAAATGAGCAAAAAGTTCAGAAAGTTCCCATATACCCTCCTGCTCCCTCATATGCATAGCTTTCTCCACTATCACTATCCCATACCAAAGTGGTACATTTGTTGTAATCAATGAACTTACATTGATATATCAATATCACCCAGAGTCTATAGTTTACATTAGGGTTCACTCTTGGTGTTACACATTCTGTGAGTTTTGACAAATGTACGGGAGCATTCCATCATTATAGTTTTATATTGAGTAGTTTCACTGCTCTAAAAATCCTTTGTACTCTGCCTTTTCATCCTACCCTACCACCCCAGTCCTTGGCAACCACTGATCTTTGTACTGTCTTTCACAACGTCATACAGTTTGGCAAAATCATACAATATTTGGCTTTCAGATTGGCTTTGTTCATTTAGTAATATGCATTTGAAGGTCTTCTATGTATTTTGGCTTGATAGTTCGTTTTTTAAATTTATATTTTAAATTTTTATTAATTTAATTTTATTTTTTAGAGGGATAGAGGGGGAAAAGAGAGAGAGAAAGAGAGAGAGAGAGAGAGAGAGAGAGAGAGAGAGAGAGAGAGAGAGAGGGAGAGAGGGAGAGAGGGAGAGAGAAACACCAATTTGTTGTTCCACTTATTTATACATTCATTGGTTGATTCTTATATGTGCCCTGACTAGGGATTGAACCCACAACCTTGGCATATTGGGTCAGTGCTCTAACCAACTGAGTTAGTTGGCCAGGACTAAAATTTATTAATTTTAAATTTATTGGGGTAACATTGATTAATAAGTATGTTTCAAGTGTACAATTCTATAATACATTATCTATATATTGCATTGAGTACTTACCCAAACAAAATCTAGGCTCCTTCTGACACCATATATAGAATGGAGCAAAATTAGATTAATAGTTGTTCATATTCTATATAATAAAAGCCTAATATGCAAATGACCAAACTGGGTTGGGGGAACAACTGGTCACTATGACATACACTGACCACCAGGGGGCAGACACTCAATGTAGGAGCTGCCCCCAGCCCATAGGCCCCAGGCTGGCCAAGGCAGATGCTGGGGGTGGGGTAGGGCCGAGAATGGGGAGGCAGTAGCCCCGCAGATCAGCCCTGATCGCCTGGCCAGGCCTAGGGACCATACCCATGCACGAATGTCAGGCATCAGGCCTCTAGTAGAAAATATCGATAATACAATATTTAATAAGTAATGATATAATAATAAATAAATAATAATAAACTCTGTGTTTCAGGTACTCACAACTATAAACCTACTTTTGCCCCATCCTTCATTTGACCCCCTTTAACCCTATTCATCCTCCCCACCCCTATCCCTTTCTTGTAACCACCATGTTGTTGTTTATGTGTATGAATTCATTTGTTGGTTTTGTTTGTTCACCTGTTACTTTTTGTTTTATATCCCACATATGAGTGAAATTATGTGGTTCTTTCTGTCTGACTTATTTTGCTTAGTATGATATTCTCAAGATCTACCCATGTAGTAGCAAATGGCAGTATTTTATACTTTCTTATGGCTGAGTAGTATTCCATTGTATACTTATACCACATCTTCCTTATTCAATAGTCCATTGAAGGATCCTTAGGCTTTTTTCTTTTTAGCACTGAATGATAGTCCATTGTGTAGCTATACTAAAGTACATCCATTCACCTACTGAAGGACATCTCTGTTGCTCCAAAGTTTGGGATTGATTTTTTTTAAACTTAAATCTAGGACTTTATATAGATTTTCGTATCACTTTTCATTTTGTCGATTCCTTCTATTTTGTAAACTGTTGAGATCTTTTTGAATTTTAATTCTGTTTATGCTGTATCCTTAGAAGACATGCTCATTATATTCTTATATGAAACAAAGTTAGTGGGAATGATTATGTTAGTTGAATGTACAGGGAGCCAGTTCAAGCATGAAGCATGCTGAAACTGGGAGGCAGCATGGTGGCCATGGGACAGGTTTGGTCCGTTTAAATAGAGGAAGAGACCTGGGAAGCCAGGGAATGGCCAAGCTAGTGGATTACTAGGGATGTACAGTGTTAGGAGAGCTTACATCACAATTCCTGGAGACTCTGAATTTTAGAGCAATAGTGTGATGGGTATAGGGAGCAAGGCATCCAGGCATCTGTTCCCAACAGAAAACTGTTGGGAGCAGAGTGGGTTTTCATGTCCTCCTTGCTATGTATATTAGCTTGTCCAATTCCACAGGACAAGCCTAAGAGGTAGAAACTAAGAAACCTCCATGGCTCTTTCTGAGTGCATCAGATGCTAAGCTTGGTTGTCGATACAACAGAATCCAAAACCCACACACTAACTTGAGTCCATCTTTATTAATGACTGACTGAACAACCAGGGTGTGGGTGGGCCTCATCCAGTAGAACCAACCTCAGGAATCTGAAGTGGGCACAGGAGAAGCAAAGCAGGCTCTGATACTAAAGCCTTTAGCCCAGTCATAGCTAACCATACTTCATTGAACAGTTGGCTGCTTTCCTCAGGAATCTTTTTCCCCCCTCCAGCTGCAGGTGTACTGTCCCAGAGAATCCAAACAATCACACACTACAGTATTGGAAGGACGAAAACATCGTGACAACAGAAGTCCACTGGGCTAACCTGTCTGTTACTGTAAGTCTGGGAGCTGCCAGATGGCCTAGCATTGTGACTACCAGGTTTAAGGGAGTCTTCTAGGTAGAAGCAGGTAGCCCTTTAACAAGCTCTGGCATTTACATAATAAAGCATTTTCCTTCTTTTAAATTATTCTTCCTGACTTCCCCCTTGCACATAAAGATAAAAGAATATTATCTCTTACTTCTCTCCACATGCAATAGCTACTTCCTATCCAGTGACCCTGTAGAAATGATATGTGGGGATGAAACCAGGCAGGTTGGGGAGCAGATTCTGATTTTATGGAGCTTGCAGGACATTCAGATCAGCAAGGACTCTAATAAAAATAGTACAAATTGCTAGGGCCCTCTTAGAACCTCGTGTTTTCTTTAAACAGTTCTGGTTTCATTTTCAAAAGTGTCTTAGTTTGGCCCAACCAGTGTGATTCAGTGGTTGAGCATTGACCTATGAACCTGGTTTGATTCCCGGGCAGAGCACATGCTTGGGTTGCAGGCTCAGTCCCCAGTAGGGAGCATGTAGGAGGCAGCCAATCGATGATTCTCTCTAGACATTGATGTTTCTATCTCTCTCTCCCTCTCCCTCCCTCTAAAAAAAAAAAAGTTAAATATCTTAGTTGAGGCCATAAGTTGGCACCCTGCCTGGAAGGGGCCTTTGCAAATGAGACCCGCATAGCTGCATGGAGGTTAATGCTGCTGGCAGCGAGTGGTGGACTCAGAAGGCAGCCACCAGTTACTCCCTCTTGCCTGCTTTTCATTATCCAGAATGTTTGTTTCTCCAGGAATGCCAGGAGATGCATGGAGAGTTCACAGGACCTGCATGTGGCCATCACGGACCCTATACTCCTGATGTGCTGTTTTGGTCCTGCATTCTCTTCTTCACCACCTTCATCCTTTCAAGCACCTTAAAGACATTTAAGACAAGCCGCTATTTCCCAACCAGAGTAGGTAGCATGTTCATACATTTCTTTTGTGTTAGAATCCTATATAATAAAGGGCTAATATGCAAATCGGCCTCACGGTGGAACAACTGGTTGCTGTAATGTGCACTTACCAGGAGGGACCAGAGGCTCAATGCAGGAGCTACCCCTTGGTGGTCAGTGTGCTCTCCCTACTCAGCCAGAAGCCCTGAGCCAGGCTCATGGCTGGCTCCGTGGGGGGCGGGCCTAAGTCAGCAGGTGAACACCCCCCGAGAGGTCCCACACTGCAAGAGGGTACAGACCGGGCTGAGGGGACCCCCTCTCCCAGTAATGTCATTCACCAGGTCTCTGGTACTAATATAGCAAACTCATCTCAGCCTCCATGCTACTTGCTGAGTAGAGTGGCAGGTGGAGAATTTTAAATGTCCTGATGAGCCATACTGCAGCATCTCTTTTTCTAGTGTCCAGGAGTCCCTTTCAGAGATGTGTGGTAAAATATTTTTGATTTAAAAGCCACAGGTGAGTTTAAGGTGGAGTAGTATTCTCTAACAGCTAGTAAGTTTCGTTTCTGAATTGCTATTAAGTTTTATTTCTAGAATGCAATAGTTAGAGCTGGCTACTTAATATAATTAATATAATTAATTGGGATGATTGCTTTGGATTAGGTAGGGAATCCCAAAGTCTCCTCTCAGGAATGGCTCTTGTAATAGCTTGTGAAATCACTGGTTAAATTGGCTGCAGCAGTGAGAACGCTCCTGACGTGGTTTGCCTGTATGTTGGAAGCCTCAATGACCTCGCCTTGATGCAGATGACACTGTGTGTCATGCCCAGTATGGTAGGACAGAATTATAGGCCAAGTTTAGAGTGGCCGAAGGGGCTATTGCTTTGAAAAGGAGCTTCAATCAGGAGGGATTGGTAGTTTTTCTGTGAGGTTTCAATCAGGCACATTTGCAGATCAGGATGTATGAATGGGGAAAGGGGTCAGTTGATTGGCTATTTACTGTACACACATACATCACTAAAATATTCTTAGACTTCAGTGGATCTACACAGTAATTAAGGAGATACATATTAGATATGCTCTGGTTCATTGTTTCTAGTCTGGATGAATGGTGAACAAATGACAGCTATGTACTCACTACTTGCTTAGGTCTGGGTAAGTGCTGTAGGGGATGCAAAAGATTGGATAGGAAGTGGAAACATGAAACAACCAGATCATATGAGACAGTAGTAAAAAGTTGGATGTAAGTGCTATTGGAGTTCAGAGGAGAGAAGCTCATAGGAGTTCATGATATTCAACATGGCTGAGATATATTTCCTCTATTTCTGTTGGGAGTTCAGCTTAAGACAGGCACTGAGCATTTCAGAAGCATTGTATTTATTAAAGCTACACTAAACTATAAAGTGGGTTAGTTGTCTTAGGAAAAAATGGTGATAAATGCTATGGAGAAAAATAAAGCAGGAAAGGCATATAGTAAGAGCGGGGGAGGCAGGTGGCAACCAATTTTAAGTAGGGTCATCAAAGAAGATCTCAGGAAGGTCATATTTGAGTGAACTTAAAGGAGGTAAGGGAGCGACCCAAGAGATTACTGGAGATAGAGGGATGAGTAAGTTCAAAGACTGGAAGTGAGTCTGGCATGGTTAAGAAACAACAGGAGGTCTGAGTGCTGGAGCAGAGAGCATTAGGAGCTGGGTTCAGAGAGGTAATGATGCCAGTGAGTATGGGCTTCATAGGCCAAGAGGGCCTTTTGGTTTTTAACTCAGTGAAATGAGCAACCATTTCGGGGTTTTGGTGGAGGCATTAACTTGGGCATATTAGCATATTCCTGTTGTTGAAATATGCTTGTATTAATTCAAGTATAAGATTAAAGCATTCTCCTCTGAGAATTGTTAAACCTTTTACAATATTAAATTCCCTTCTACTGCATTCATCCTACTAAAACACTTCTCTAATTCTTTTGCATGCCAGGTGCGCTCCATGGTGAGTGACTTTGCCGTTTTCCTCACAATCTTCACAATGGTGATCATTGATTTTTTGATTGGAGTCCCATCACCAAAACTTCAAGTTCCAAGTGTGTTCAAGGTAAACAGATCTCAGGGTACTTGGTACCTCATAGTATCTGCTTTGGAGTTAATTTCCGAGGCCTCTTTCCATATCCTAAATGCTGAGTTTTTCAGTCCTCTATGAGCCTTGCTCTTTATGCTTTCCTTTTCAGAAGAGTGAACTCATCAGGCTTGGCTAAGTTCAAGTCAGAAAAGAGCAAGCCTAAGTTCATTTAATGAACAAAAAGTATTATTTATTGTCATTAATGCAACTTAACTTTTTATTTTAATTTATTTTAAAATTTATCTTTATTGTTGAAAGTATTTCAGATATCCCCCCTTCCCCCTCCCCCATTGACCCTTTCTACCCTCCATACCCCAGGCCTATGGCACTGTTGTCTGTGTCTATGTGTTATGTTTATATGCATATAAGTTCTTTGGTTAATCTCTTCCCCACCCCTACCCTTCCATATATATAAGGAAGCATATATGCACCCAGGTAAAGAGAACTGGGTAAGGGAAATGTGTAAAAATCTGTTTTTCAAGTATGTAGAGCTTATACTGGGAAAAAAGTCACTGTATTCATGCCTTTTTTTTTTTTTTTTTTTTTAAGTATTCTCATTTAGGAATAAAAGAGTTGTGGATATTGTGATTCAGTTTGATCTGTTTTGCCCTAATGACTATAGTTAACTTAAAATACAACAATAAAACCTTGTTTTTTCCTTTAGCCAACAAGGGATGATCGAGGGTGGCTTATTAGTCCCATTGGCCCCAATCCCTGGTGGACCGTGATAGCTGCAATTATCCCAGCTCTCCTCTGCACTATATTAATATTCATGGACCAGCAGATCACAGCTGTGATCATTAACAGAAAGGAACACAAGCTCAAGGTAACAAAAAATTCTGACCGACAAAGATAATAATTTAATTTAAAAAAAATTCTGACCGAGAAGGATTAATGGCATCCTATTACATTAAAAAAAAAAAATCAGGGTAAATTCATTTTAGACCTGTAGCACCTGGATAAAGGAAGCCATGGAAGGAGCTCTAAGAGTGGAGTACAATGGTATGATACAAAAGAAGCTTGGGCTCCACTACTCTCTATCCAAACCTGTGGGGAAGCTGGACTGGCAGAGTTCCTAGTGGTCCTTATATAGCCACTTGCTCTGGGTCAGGCTTATCTTCCTGAGGTTCAGGTCAGGGCGTGGGCCTCTGTTTCCTAGAGGCAGGTACTCTCCCATTACTAGGGTTTCTAGACTGAACCTTAAGCTCAAAGGATCATACAGAGGTAGGGTAAGTTCCAATGTATGTATTAATGAGAGACTTAATGTGATCATCTCTGGACTTTCCTTGCTTAACGCCAATTTAGAAGGATCTGGAACCCAATAAGGACACTTATCTTTAACTCCTATAATGTCTACCATCTAGAATGGTCAAGATGTGGCTTGATCTCTGGTTAATCTTCCAAGAAAGGATGAATATTTGAATGTGTGAGACTCAGAGCGAGATCTGGGGGGACTTGCATAAAGAATGGACATTAGCATATTTTGGACAAGCTAAAGTTTCCCTTTTTTTCTCTGTTCCCTCCAAGCCAGAAGGGGCTGGACTACTCTTAGCTCACTGTTCTATGCCCAACTAATGGTGACGGAGACTCTGTTTCCCTACAGAAAGGCTGTGGCTACCACCTGGACCTGCTCATGGTGGCCATCATGCTGGGTGTCTGCTCCATCATGGGCCTGCCCTGGTTTGTGGCTGCAACTGTCCTATCCATCACACATGTGAACAGCCTCAAACTGGAATCTGAGTGCTCCGCTCCTGGGGAACAGCCCAAGTTCTTGGGCATCCGAGAACAGAGAGTGACAGGCCTTATGATTTTTGTGCTGATGGGCTGCTCAGTCTTCATGACAACTATATTAAAGGTAATCATTCATTTATTCCTTAGGTAATATATTGAGTACCTGTTTTGAAAATAAGAAATAGCTTATTTTAATTGGATACGGTAGATAAGATGTGGTTAAGAAAGTCAATTAAAACCCTAACTGGTTTGGCTCAATGGATAGAGAGTTGGCCTGCAGACTGAAGGGTCCAAGGTTTGATTCCGGTCAGGGGCATGTACCTTGATTGTGGTCACATCCCCAATAGGGGATGTGCAGGAGGCAGCTGATGGGTGTTTCTCTCTCATCCATGTTTCTAACTCTTTATACCTCTCTCTTTCTTTCTGTAAAAAATCATATATATATATATATTTTTAAAAAGTTAAGAAAACAAACAAGTCTGGCTGGATGGCTCAGTTGATTGGCTGTAGGACTGTGTACTAAAAGGTTGCCAGTTTGATTCCCAGTCAGGGTAAAGACCATCAATGTTAATTCTTTTATCAATGTTTTCTATCTCTCTTCCTTTCTCTCTAAAAATCAATTTTTAAAAACCTTAAATAAAAACCAAAAGAAAACAAACATAATAATTAGAGAATATATGTGATAAAAGGAAAAATATAGTGGTCTATGGTGCTATATAGAATTGCAGGGGTACTGTTTTTTAGTTAATGTTGTTGGAAAAGGCCTCTCTAAGGAGTTGGCATTTAAGGCGAGATGGACAGTGGGAGATGGCAGAGGGAAAGGGAGAAAGCAGTCTAGTGAGGCTCTTAGGGTGAAAGAATTATATATGTTCCAGGAAACAGCATGACCATGTGGCTCAAGGATGCTGAGTCAAGACAGAACACAGTGAAATGAGACTGAAGAGTGAGCAGAGGCAGATCATGCAGGGCCTTGTTGATATTAGTAAAGATAAACTTTAAAGGGTTTTAACAGGAGCGGGATATGATCCATTTTGTATTTTTAAAAGATTACTCTAGCTGATGATTAGACTAAATTTTAGGGATGGGAAAAATAGAAGTAGAGAAACAGTGAGGCTATTACAGGTAAGAGATTATGATGATTTGGCTAAGGAAGTTGGTAGTAGGGATAGATAAAAGGAATGGCTTCTGTACATTTTTGAGATAGATCCAAAGGTCTTGCTGGATGTAGAATGGAGTGAGGAAAATGGAAAAGTAAAAATGTTGACTCCCTGGGTGGAGAGTGATGGCATTTAAGTAGATGGCAATGCCTTAACCATATACATGTTGTTAGGTTCTAGAGCCTCTTCCATCTTTTCTAAAATATATTTTTATTGACTTCAGCGAGAGGGAGAGAGAAACATCAATGATGACAGAAAGTCATCAATCGGCTTCTTCCTAAATGCCCACCACCAGGGATTGAGTCCACAGCCCGGTCATGTGCCTTACCTGGAATTGAGGTTGAAGCTCAATAAACCACACTGGCCACTCTTCCATCTTTGTTAAGGGGAGTGCTAACCCTCTCTCCTTTCATACAGGACTGAGGGTGATGGCATTTAAGATAGAGAAGACTGCCTGAAGGAGAAAGTGATTTCATCAGGAGCAAGGCTGTGGACAGACTTGGGATAAGATGTTCAGGAAGCATCTGAGTGAAGAGGCTAGAGGAGGGTTCTGAACTAAAAACATGAATGTGGGCATCACAGCACATAGGTGTTATTGACAGCCAAGGGAATAGATAGATCTCTCAGTGAGAAGGTAAATATAAAAGGGAAGCAGGAGCAGAGAGAAGAGCAGAATATAAGGTGCTCCAAATTTAGAAGTTGGGTAGAGGAGGAGACAGCAACAGACTCTGAAGGAGCTGTCAGAGGTAGGGAAACCGGGAAGGTATAGTGTCAGGATGCCATGTGAGGGGAATGTTTCAAACAGGAGGGGTTAGATGGAGGCTGTCTAGAAAGATGAAGACTAAACCAAAACCATTGGGACCACACAGAGGCCTAATGTGACTTGACAAGAGCAGATGCAGTAGGAGAAAAGGGCAAAAGCTGAGTTACAGGGACTAAAGAGTAAACAGGAGTGCAAACAGACAGCTCTTTCAAGGGGTTTTTCTATGAAGTGGAGCAGAAAAATGGGCAGTGGCTGGTGTGAGATGTGGGAAAGGGGATTTTTGGAAAGTGGGAAGATAAATATGAGAAAATACGTTTTTGTGTGGGTAGAAGACCTGTATCTGGGGGAAATGGGGTGAAAAGGGACCTCTGTGGCCATATCTCCAGGCCTCAACCATTGTGGAAGGATATGGCCTAAACTGGCAGTCAGACATCCCCCAAGGGGTCCCAGATTGGAGAGGGTGCAGGCCAGGTTCAGAGACACCCCCTGCCCCACATACAATTTCGTGCATCGGGACTCTAGTAGGGAATATAATTAATATTGCAATAACTATTTATAGTGCAGGTTGGCACTTGAATTATCAGAAAGAACACTTTGTAATCTATATGAATTTTTATCTGCTGTGCTATATACCTGAAGTTAAAAGGAAGTGTTGAATGCAAACTGTAATAAAAAATAAAATAAGAAGTATCAGTTTTATAAAAGAGGGAAGTGTATGTCCAATAATGAACTATCAGAAAGAGAAATTAAGAAAACAATCCCATTTACAATTGCATAAAAAAGTACTTAGGAGTAAATTTATCCAAGAAAGTAAAAGATCTGTCCTTGGAAAATTATAAGACATTGAAGAATATACAAATAAATGGAAACATATACTGGTACTCTAGGGTAGGAAGAATTAACATTGTTAAAATGTTCACACTACCCAAAGCAATCTATATTCTGTGCAATCCCTATCAAAATAACAATGGCATTTTTCACAGAACTAGAACAAATAATCCAAAAAAATTTATATGGCCAGGACCGGTTTGGCTCAATGGATAGAGCGTCGGCTTGGGGACTGAAAGGTCCCGGGTTCGATTCCGGTCAATGGCATGTACCCTGGTTGCGGGCATATCCCCAGTAGGGGGTATGCAGGAGGCAGCTGATCGATGACTCTCTCTCATCGATGTTTCTGACTCTCTATCTCTCTCCCTTCCTCTCTGTACAAAATCAATAAAATATATTTAAAAAAATTTATATGGAATATCACAACAATCTTGAGAAAGGAGGAAAAAGTTGGAGTTATCATGCTATTTGACATCATACTATATTACAAGACTATAGTAATAAAAACAGTATGGTTCTGATATGAAAACATATAGATCCGTGGAACAGAAGAGGGAGTCCATAAATAAACCTACTCCTATATGACCAATATATTACGAAGGAGGCAAGAATGTGGTCCTGGCCAGTGTGGCTCAGTTGGTTGAAGGTTGTCCCATGTACCAAAAGGTCACTGGTTTGATTCCCATTCAGGGCACATGCCTGGGATGTGGGCTCAATCCCCAGTAAGGGGCGAGTAGGAGGAGGAGACCCCTTGAAAGAGCTGTCTGTTTGCACTCCTGTTTACTCTTCCTCCCTCCTTCCTTCCCTCCCTGTCTTTCCCTTTCTCTCTTTCTAAAATCAATAAACATATTTACTAAAAAAAAAAGTATATACAATGGGGTAAAGACAATGTATTCAAGAAATGGTATTTGTGTCATTGGACAGATACAAGCCAAAAAGGAAAGTAGACCACCTTCTTACACCATCCTATCTAATAAAAGAGTAATATGCAAATTAACCATCACTCCACTACACCCACAAACTATGCCCACCAGTCAATCAGGATGGAATATACAAATTAACCCAACCAAGATGGCTGCAGCCACAGAGCATGCAGGAGGCTTGGGTTTTCCCAGCAATGGAGGAAGCCAAGCTTTCTGCACACCCTGGCCTGCCTTGGCCTCTGCTCAAGGCTATAAAGTTTCAATTATTAAAGATAAATAAATCCCACCAAAAATGACTGTGGTCACAGAGCAAGCAGGAGACTTGGCTCTGCTCAAGGCTATAAAGTTTCAATTATAGAAGATAAATAAATCCCAGATATTAGAGCCTCTGCTTGAGTCGCCGGGGGGGATGGCTGGCCTGCAAACCACCACAGGCTGCCCCACACCCCACCCTGATCCAGGACACCCTTCAGGGCAAACCAGCTGGCCCCTACCTGTGCACGAGGCCTATATTATATCTAAAAAAAGAATAGTATGCAAATTGACCATCACTCCAACACAAAATATGGCTGCCTTCATGTGGTCAAAGATGGCTGCCCCCATGTGGACACAAGATGGCCACCACAAGATGGCCAGCAGAGGAGGGCAGTTGGGAGAGACTAGGCCTGCAAGGGAGGGCAGTTAGAGGTGATCAAGCTTGCAGGGAAAGGCAGTTTGGGGAGGACTCAGGCCTGCAGGGTTGTTCAGTTGTGGGGAACGGGGCTTGCAGTGAAGGCAGTTAGGGGTGACCAGGCCTGCGTGGGAGGGCAGTTATGGGTGACCAGGCCTGCAGGGGAGGGCAGTTAGGGGCAAACAGGCTGGCAGGGGAGCAGTTAGGCATCAAGCAGGTTGGCAGGGGAGTGGTTTGGGATGATCAGGCTGGCAGGCAAAAGTGGTTAGGGGCAATCAGAAAGGCAGGGAGGCAAGCAGTTAGGAGCCAATAGTCCTGGATTGTGAGAGGGATGTTCCAGATAGGAGAGGGTGCAGGCTAAGCTGAGGGACACATTGCCTGTGCACAGATTTTGTGCACCAGGCCTCTAGTATATAAGAATAAACTCAAAATGGATGAGAGACTTAAATGCAAGACTCGAAACCATCAAGCTCTTAGAAGAAAAAAATAGGCAATAAACACTGACATTTCTCTTAGAAACACTTTTTTTGATATGTCTTCTCAGATAAAGGAAACAAAAGAAAAAAAAATAAACAAATGGAACTACATCAAAATGAAAAGTTTTTACACAGCAAAAGAAACAGTTAACAAAATGAAAAGACATCTACTGAATGGAAAGAGATATTTGACAATTTTACATCCTATAAAGGGTTAATATTCAAAATTTATGAAGAACTCATAAAACTTAACACCAAAAAACCCCAAAACACACACACACACACACACACACACACACACACACACAAAACCACACACAATTTAATTAAAAATGGATTCTGTATGTCCTTTTTAGACAGACATATGAAAAAATTCTCAGTGCACTGATCAGCAGGGAAATGCAAATTAAAACCACAGTGGGATACCACTTCACTGGATGGCTAGCATCAGGAAATCAACCAACAACAAATATTGGTGAGGATGTGGAGAAAAGGGAACCCTCTTGCAGTGTTGGTGGAAATGTAGATTGGTGCAGCAGCTGTGGAAAATAATATGGAGGGCCCTCAAAAAAGGAAATATGAAACTGCCTTATGTCCTAGGGATTCCACTTCTGGGTATTGTTTGAAGAACTCTAAAACACTTATTTGAAAAGATATATGCACTCCTATTTCATTGCAGTGTTATTTACAATAACCACGATAAAGAAGCAACCCAAGTGCCCATCAATAGATGAATGGATAAAAAAGTGGCAGGACATATATATAATGGAATCTTTCTTGGCCATAAAAATGAATGAAATCTTACCATTTGCAACAGCATAGACGGACCTAAATGATATTATGCTAAGCAAAATAATTCAGACAGAGAAAGACTAACATGATATGATTTAACTTATATATATAGAATCTAAAGAACAAAATAAAAATGAGCAAACCCCCCTCCCCCACAAATAAACTCATAGATACAGAGAATAAACTGAGCATTGCCAAATGGGTGGAGGTTGGAGAGGGCAGGGAGAAAAAGCTGAAGGTATTAAGAAGTACTAATTGGTAGTTACAAAATTGTCACGGGGTATAAAAGTATAGCATAGGGAATATAGTCAATAATATTGTAATTACTATATATGCTATATATGGTGCAGGTGGGTACTAGAATTATCAAGGGGATCACTTCATAAATTATATAATTGTCGAACCACTATTCTGTAAACCTGAAACTAATTAAAATAATATTGAATGTCAACTATTATTAAAAAATAACATTTAAAAAATGAAAAAAACACACTTTTTCTCTCGCACTAGTAAAAAAAAAGTGTGTGTGTGTGTGTGTGTGTGTGTGTGTGTGTGTGTATGTGTGTGAGTGTGTGTGTGTCCATCCCCACAGAGGAGAAAGAGCCAAATATGGGTAAGACATAATTTTACCAGGACCATATTACACTTATGTGTAATCATTTCATTTCAGAACAAAAGAGTTTTTGTCAGTCAAATTGTTTTGCCTCTACTTCTACATCATGAAAAGGCAGCAGAAACTAATGTAATGTTTATGTTGTGATTTTGTGACTTGACTTCCCCCTTGGAGACTTAAAAGTTGTTACAGTCTTGAGTGCTGATACCAAGTGTAATCTCTGGTCTTTCTGCCGTTTGTGTTCAGTTCATCCCGATGCCGGTTCTCTATGGAGTCTTCCTCTACATGGGAGTCTCTTCACTACAGGGAATTCAGGTATGTATGGCTCAGCCAGGGCAACGTCTTCTCACTGCGCTCACGTGTCCTAACCGGAGGGCTAAGGGGTGGGAGGGGGACAGCTCCAGCACCAACGAGTTCTTGAGAAACCTTTCCCTAGTCTTTTTTAAAAAAATTTTTTTTAAACATATTTTTACTGATTTTTTACAGAGAGGAAGGGAGAGAGATAGAGAGCTAGAAACGTTGATGAGAGAAACACCGATCAGCTGCCTCTTGCACACCCCCTACCGGGGATGTGCCTGCAACCAATGTACATGCCCCTGACCGGAATCGAACCTGGGACCTTTCAGTCCGCAGACCGACGCTCTACCACTGAGCCAAACCGGTTTCGGCCCTTTCCCTAGTCTTGCTGGTCAAGCTATTTTGACATTTCTTTGAACTTTGGGCAGAATACAACCATGTTGGCATGAGGGTACAGGGACTTACAGAGTAGCCTGGCTTGATGTCATGGTTTCAGTAATTTGTTATAGTTTTCAACAGACAATTATTAGGCACACATTAAATAATAGGTGCTTTGTCAGGTGCTGGTCCAGAACCACACATGGACAGTGCTAGGCTGAAGTGTGAGCGAGGGGTTTAGCTGGGGGCACTTTGGTAAAGAGATTGGGGCATGGTGGGAGCTGCTCCAGGTGAGCAAATAGTACTTCCTGGCACACTGCCGGTTTCCATCTGCCAGCTAATCCCTCTGAATCCTTTGAACAGAGAAACTTGGGAGCTTGTCACTGATTAATGCAGGTGATATAATGACGTAGCTGCTTCTCCTATTGGTGGCTGGTTCCTCTTTTTTTTTTTTTAAGAATGTCCAGTGGTCATTCTCATATACTGAATTGTAATATGACTGTGGACAGGTTATTTAATCTCTCTGGGCCTTTTTTTGTGTGCATTTTATAATATAAGAATAGTCATACTTTCTATATCCAGAATGTTATATTTCATTTTATATTTTTACTATAAATAATAATCAGAATCTCCAAACTCCTCCAATAGCCAAGAAGAGATTTGGATTTGATAATACAAAGATGCAATTGCTTATTTTATTTTCAGTACTCTCTGAGAAAGAGCTTTTTCAGGATCCACAGTGTGGGGTAGGAAAAAAGGAATTTGAACCTAGATTTTAAAAAGATGGATTTTAAACTTGACTCTATCTCTTACCAACCTTAGCCAGCTTGCCTATTCTGAGACTTGGTTTCCATTTCTGTCCAGTGGAAATGGTTACTGCCTGCCTTTCAGAGCAGGTGATGTAAGAGACATGAATTTGCCTAAGAAGTTTCTGACCCAGAGAAGCCTCCTGGAAATAAATGCCAGTCCCCTTCTTTCAGTTCTTCGATCGGCTGAAGCTCTTCGGGATGCCCGCGAAGCACCAGCCAGACTTCATTTACCTCCGCCATGTGCCGCTGCGCAAGGTGCACCTCTTCACCCTCATCCAGCTCACCTGCCTGGTCCTGCTCTGGGTCATCAAGGCATCGCCGGCCGCCATTGTCTTCCCGATGATGGTGAGTTTTAAAAAATTATTATTTATTTTTAAAGTGGTGATAAAATACACATAACATGACATGTACCGTCTTAATTTTTAAGTACATTCGCATTGCCACCATGCACCTCCAGAACTTTTTTCATCTTGCACAGCTGAAACTCTGTACCCATGAAGCAGTAACTCCCCATTCCTTCCTCCCAATAGCCCTTGGTAACCACCATTCCACTCTGTCTCTGCATTTGACTACTCTAGGTACCTCACCTGAGCGGAATCCTGTAGTATTTGTCCTTGTGTGATTTGTTTATTTCACTCATAATGTCTTTAAGATTCATCCATGTTGTAACATGTGTCAGAATTTCCTTTCTTTTTAAAAAATGAATAATAAATTTCATTACGATATAGACCACATTTCGTTTGTTCATTTGTCAATAGACACTTGGATTGCTTCCACCTTTTTGGCATTGTGAACAATACTTGACTCTGTGAATAATGATTCCAGGAAATAAGTGCCTGTTTGTGTCGCTGCTTTCAGTTCTTTTGGGTAAATACCAAGAAGTGGGATTTCTGGGTCTATGGTACTTTCATTTTTAATGTTTTTGAGGACTGTCACGAAATGGTTGCACCATTTTACATTTCTACCAGGAGTGCACAGAATTTTAATTTCTCTACATCTTTGCCAACACTTATTTTCTGTTTTGGGATTTTTTAAAATAACTGCCATCCTGCCTTAGCTGGTTTAGCTCAGTGGATAGAGCATCAGTCTGTGGACTGAACCATTCCAGGTTCGATTCTGGTCAAGGGCACATTGCTGGCTCCACCTCCAGTGGGAGGTGAGATGGGGGGGAGCATGCAGGAGGCAGCCAATTAATGATTCTCTCTCATCATTGATGTTTCTATCTCTCCCTCTCCCTTTCTCTCTAAAATCAATAAAAATATATTTTAAAAAAATAATAGCCATCCTAATGGGTGTGAAGTGGTATCTCATTGTAGTTTTTATTGTATTTCCCTAATGACTAGCGATGTTGATCATCTTTTCATGTGCTTATTGGCTATTTGTATATTTTATTTGGAGGAATGCCTATTCAAGTTGTTTGCCCATTTTTTAATTGGGTTGTTTGTTTTTTTAGTTCTTTATAAAATCTGAATATTAATATCTATTGATGGTGAGGTTTTGTGTTTTGGTTGGTCTTTGGAGGAGCAGCATTATTCTGGGGACCTTGAGGTGTGGGTGCATGTGTGTAACAGTTTGCCGTGTTTATTTTCCAGGCTACCAGTCTGCCTGTTCTTTCTTCCTTCTTCCCCCACCTCACTTTCTTTTGTGAATCTGACATGGAAAGGATTCTTCATGTTTGCAAAAATTTGCACATTACTTCAAAGCAGTAGAGTTCCAATTTATAGTTTAATGCAATTAGGAGTTTCTCAAGTGGTGGAAATGCACTGTTTTGAGCCACTGGGAGAGAGGAAGAGGTTGTCTAACACTGAGTGACTGGGGCAGCCTTGGGAAGCTGAGCTGTGTGTGGTGCAGGTGACAAGCTGTTTTCTAAATCTGGGCTGGTGATGAAATTCTTGCCACCTGACTGTTTCATCGCCGCCTCTTGATGCCTTCTCTCTGGCTCCCTCTGTGTCATGAGGAAGCTGAGAGTTCAGTGGGCTGTTTGAAAGTTAATTAAAGGGTGGTCCTCTAGAGAGAAAAGGCAGTGTTTGATACTTGTTTAGGTACTTTTGAACCCTATCTTACTGAGAGAATATTCAGGGTTAGGAAACTGGAGGGGGTCTCTTTCTCTCTAGTCTCTTAGATGTATCCTCTCCTGATGGGGCTTCTCAATTTTGTCAGAATATCTGTAGGGTTCTGCATTTGGGTGTTAAGTTCAGGGGTTGAGTGTTTGGTTAAAAAAGTAGCAAATTCCTGGCAACTCCTGGAAGGGATACTATCCATTTTAGATAGATTGGGAAAGTAATCAGAGAAATTCAGGAGAAATGTGGTTGAATTTCATAAGCTCGATTTGCCTCATTCTTTGTCCAGCCACCAGAGGTAGCTGGTGAACCTTATTGAATCCACGCAGGTCATTCTGGGTTATTTGTTCTCCTTTGGCTGAAGTGGCCCTTATGGGGGAAAATGGAGCAGCAAATGAGGCACCCTGAGCTGTTCCTATTAAGATGATTAGCTGTCAGATTTTAGGCAAGTTATTTTCTCTCCCTGGGCCTCAGTTTTCCATTTATAAAATGACTATCAGATCAGACCAGAGCACCAAGACAGAAACCACTACAGTTCATGATGCAGGGCATAAAGCAAGGATTTTGGGGGGAAAACACATAGGCAAGGATTGGCGGGAATCCAGATAGTCCTTCAAGTTCCCCTCACCCCATGGTGAGTATGCTTAGGCTGTGCTGTGTTCATGTTCTGTGTTCACTGTGTTTAGGCTGTGCTGTGTTCACTGTGGCCATGTTCCCATGCTTCCTGCTGCCCTTCCTGCTGGCCCCACGCCAGGGGAAGTAGCTCTTAGGGCCGTCCACAAATGAACGGCCTCTTTTTAATGAGGGAATTAAATTAATTGCTCTCCAACCTATTCCTCTCTCCCAGTAGCTCAAAACAGTGCATACTTTAGACACTTCAGAAAGTTAACCAAAATATTGTATATAAAACACCTTAGCACCCGGTACAAAGAGGACAGTCAATAAAAGGCAACTATAATGATTATTATGAGTTTGATTTTTGCATGAAGTGTCCCATTTCTGCTGTGAAAATAAGATTGTGCTTTTAACAATCAGGAAGTAAATGAGTCCCTTTCATTCACTTTTTTAACTTTCCTTCAGGTTTTGGCCTTGGTCTTCGTCAGGAAAGTGATGGATCTCTGCTTCTCTAAGCGAGAGCTGAGCTGGTTAGATGATCTCATGCCTGAAAGCAAAAAGAAGAAGCTGGACGATGCCAAAAAGAAGGCCAAGGAGGAAGAGGTCAGAGTTCTTGCACCAACTGTACACTCTAGGGCAGCCTCAAATTACAGGACCTAGGCAGGGCCACATGAAGAGTCAGCATGTCTGGAATCCCAAGTGTCATATTTAGGAGCTGAGAAGATTCCTCCAGAGCTGTTCTCAGCTGAGAGAGGATTGAGGACTCTTGTCTCTGTCTGTCCTTCATTTTTGGAGTAGATAACCAGTTGTTTTTTTCCTTTGTTTATCTAGCCTATTCATCAGGTTCACACTTAGAATATGAACACAGAATCTGCTCTTATATCAGATCTAATGGGTCATGTTCTCCCGAAAGGCCTAATTTGACAAGTAGGTTTCTTAAATCTTTTTAGGAATTATCCTTCTCTCCTTTTTAGTTTTTGTTGAAGAAATTGGGTCTTTGACCTATAGGGTTTCCCACCATTTAGATTTTATTAAGTGTGTCCTTGGTGTCATTTAACATGTTTGTTTGTCCCCTGTGTTTCCAGGAATTGATAGTTTAATCTTCAGAGTCAGGATTAAAAAAAATACTATCCTATAGGTATAAATATTTAGTTGTCTCTCTTTTTGTGATGAGGCAAATGTATCGGGTCTAGTAATAATTAATGTCGTTTTTAACATTCGTTTAAAATCTTGCTTGGCATTGACTTGTATTGACATAATCTTCAAACACGTGGTTTCTACAGAATGTGTGAAGGGCAATTAACAAGTTTTGCTTGAAAAAGTTTGTGTTTGGTTTGGTTTTTGTTGCAAAACTAGGGCTAAGAAGATGGCGGATGAAGAGCATATTCGGCACTGCATGCTTTACGAGTTCCAATTAGGAAGAAAAGCAAGTGAGGCTGCAAAAAACATCTGTAGTGCTCTTGGTCAAGATGCAGTTAGCGCCAGAAAATGCCAGCGTTGGTTTGAGACATTTCGCGAGGGAAATTTTTCGTTAGATGACAAGAGTGGTCGAGGCCGTGTGTCCAATTTTGATCAAGAAGCTCTTCAAGCTCTTTTGGTGCAAAATCCTCAAATTACCCAACAAGAGCTTGCGACAACTTTAAATTGTTCACAAAAAACAATTTCCAATCAATTGCGTGCACTTGGCAAAGTCCAAAAGTTTGGAAAATGGGTTCCTCATGAGTTGACCGACAACAACCGTAATCAAAGAGTCACAATTTGCAGTTCACTCCTCTCTCGTCAAAACCGTTTGCCGTTTTTAGAGCAAATTGTTACCGGAGATGAAAAATGGGTGCTGTATGTTAATTTGAAAAGGCGGTCTCAATGGTTGGACAAAAATGAGGCTCCACAGCCCACGCCAAAACCTGACTTGCATGCGAAAAAAGTGATGTGTGTTTGGTGGAATTTTAAAGGAATTCTTCATTATGAACTTTTACCATCTAACCAAACCATTACAAGTGCAGTGTATAGTGCCCAATTGGAAAGGTTAGCCCAAGTTTTAAGAGAAAAAGAACCCGCGCTGATTAATCAGAAGGGCGTAATTCTTCACCACGATAACGCACGACCGCATACTGCAAGAATCACTGCTGAAAAACTGCGCCAGTTGGAATGGGAAGTTCTCCCTCAACCTGCATATTCTCCTGATATTGCCCCTTCCGATTACCATTTGTTTCGTTCTTTGCAAAACTTTCTTCTTGGAAAAAAATTTAATAATGAAGAATGCCTCAAAAATGCATTGACCGAATTTTTTGCATCAAAATCACAAGAATTTTACAACAGAGGGATTAAAATGCTTCCTGAGCGTTGGGCACAAGTAGTAGAAAACAACGGCAACTATATTGTTGATTAAATTTTGTTGTATTGTTTAAATAAATTCGATTTAAAAAAGGTATTAGAAAACGACATTAATTATTACTAGACCTAATAGGAAAGAACATAATTATACCTTTTTTTTTTTTTTATAGTAAATGTGCGAAAAATGGGGTAGAAATTACCGTGACAGAAAAAAATGGACTAGTGTAGACTTATGGTTTTACTTGAAACTTCTACTTTACAAAATATAATAATGTCTTCTTTTCTTGCAGGAGGCCGAGAAAATGATAGAAATGGAGAGAGACAAGTTCCCCTTAGAGAGCAGGAAGTTACTAAGTAGTACTGAAAAGAACAACAGTTTCAGGTAGAATAACAAGAGGTTGACTGTTTTGATTGTTCTGTAAATGTTCTGTGTGTGTGTGTGTGTGTGTGTGTGTGTGTGTGTCGGGTGGGGTCACAGTTGTAGTTTGCTGGCATAAAAAGCCAACACTCAGCCTCTCCATTTGAAAATGTGGAAACACTTTTTCCTTTCATGGTTTACTGGGGACAAGCCTTGTGTGATGCACTAGACCGGTGCTGGGAATCACGAGGAGGATAGAGCTGAGAGAGCCCATGTACTGAGCATCTCCTGTGCCAGGACTGCGCTAAAGGATTTACTACTGTATGTGCTCTCATCTAATCTTTACAGCAGCTTTCTGCTCTAAGTCTCATTATCCGCATTTGTACAGTGAAGACACGGGGGCCTGAAGGGTTTTAGGTAATTTGCCCAAGGTCACAATGCTGCTAAGTAAGAAGTTTAAGATTCAAAACCCTGGTCTTTGCACTCCTCAGCCCAGTGTTTCTTCTGCCTTCCTCTGCTGCTTTTCAAAGATGATTAGGATGTGGCCTTTGTTTTCAGAGAGTTCTCAGCCTGGTGGGCATGAAATTCTCACAGTTAGGCAGGCCTTTGGGGATGGGCAGAAGCACCCATTCCAGCTGGGCTCATGACATTCACACTCCTGTGAACTGAGCTGGGATCACAAAATTCCTTCCCTCTGCCAGTGACATTAGCCCTTTCTCTATTGAAGCTTTTGCTCACCACAAGCCACAGGAAGCTAAACGGGTCCATTTGTGGTTTCATTCCTGGCATTTTGCTTCCACTCTGGAAGAGAGACGCGCAGCTGAAAGAAGCCCAGAGGTCAAGAAGGGGCAGAAAAGGAAGAGAGGGGATCTGGGTCATCTAGATCCTGGATAATTTATTGCTGAGTCATTGAATTCATTGTGTTTATACAGAAGGGGAAGTGAGGAAAGTCTTTTCTTTGAACATTTAAAAAATTTTAAATATATTTATTTTTGACAAAAGTAGTACATATTTAAGGTGTACAAGGTGATATTTTGATGTAATGATTACTACAGTCAAACTAACATATGCATCACCTCCTATAGTTAGCGTTCTTTTTTGTGGTGTGAATACTTGAGATCCACTTTCTTAGCACAGTTCAGATGTATAGTATGTTATTGTTCATTGTGCTCACCATTATGTGCATGGTCTTCAGAATTTATTTATCTTATAATTGAAAGTTGTCATTCTTTGATCATCATCTTCCCTTTCCCCCTCTCCCAGCCTCTTGTAATCACTGTTCTACTCTCTGGTCTATGAGTTTGATTTTTTTTTTTTTAACTGGTTGCAGAAGAATGGAGTCTTTGGACCTTAATAAACTTTCTAGAAGGTTGTTCTAGAAGGAACCATAAGCTTTGAATTCTTTGGCAGCAAAATAGGAGCACTGTTCCTCCTCTGTTAGGATAGTGCCTGCTCTCTTGGCCTTTTGAAAGGAGACCATTTGGCTTATAGAAAACGTCAGAGGATTCTGGGTTCTAGGAAATGAATGACTGGATTCAAGGTCTTGATTCTCCATTTACTGACATTTGACCTTGGATGGTCAATTAGCCCTGGGAGCTTTGGTTTCTGTGTCTTCAAATAAGGATGTTAATCATCTCTGAATCTGTGATAATTAAGATAATATAAGTCTTTTATTAACTACAAATGTAAAACATTTGGCTAAGTAAGTAAGAAGATGAATGAAGCTTGCTTAGCCCTGTGGCTGGTACAGTAAGTGGGAGCTGATGCCACCACCATTGGCATCACAGCACCGACATCAGCTTCCCAGAGGGGCCTCTCGAAGGAGTGCAGGATTGTGGGGGCAGGACTGGCCACCACCTGGCACACCAGCTCCGCCCTCAGCAGCCAGCACCTTATAGGTCACCTTGCCTCTCTACATCCGACCATCTGGATCCCAGGCCTCTAAGAGCCGTTAGCTGTACCCCTTCAGACCTCATCTCTTCCCTTTTGGCGGTCATTATAGGCTGAGATATGTATCTTATTTGTGTGTCTGACATTTACTGTCCTAAGTATTCATTTCAGATGTGACCCCTCTGAGATTAATATATCTGATGAAATGCCTAAAACCACAGTCTGGAAAGCTCTCAGTATGAACCCTGGAAATACCAAGGAAAAGAGGTAAAGAGAACTATAATTGCTGATTTTTATTTATTTCTGGCTTTTAAAAATAGCAATCATGTTGCAAGTAAAAGATATATTCGTTAGAATATATTGAATTTGTCTAACAAATATCCCTTTTAGGACTGCTATTAACCCCACAAGAATGAGTGTAAGCCTAAGAAAATAAAGATGTTTCCTAACTATTTGAACAGATAATGCAGTTTTGAGCTGAACATTTGTACAGGCCAAAATTAGGGTGGAGTTATTTGGGGATATAAATTTGCTTAATCTATTTAGTTCTCTTAATCTTCTTTCTAGTCCCCATTACAAAACCTATAGAGTATTTCTCTGCTTACTGCAACCACACAAATTGGGAAATTGCTACAATATTTAGATAGTGTTGATAGTATCGATACAATTCCATAATGAGAATTATCGCCAAGTAAAGATTTTAAAATATTGAATTGCAGATGTTTTCTTATTTTGGAAACTAAATTCTGTGTATCATTTGCCAATAGCATAGATCAAATTTAATTAGGTTAATGAAGAAACTGGAAGGTCTTGAGATATCTTTGCCTACAGTGAGGTAGACTATGCACCCAAAAGGAATAATTTAGTCCAAACACCATTTAGGTTTAAGTAGGCAGGTAGCTGAAGGGAAGCTCTTAGGTTTTATTAACTTTACTAAATAAAAAAAACAAAGCAGTAGGGTAGCAGTGAGGAGACCTAGCTTAGTTATTCTAGGTTCAATCTGGCAGGCCATGTTTCTGGCTCTCAGTTTACTGGGCAGGAAAATGGGAATAGTACTGACTGTTGCACTCAGAAGACTGCTCTGAGGAGAAACTGGTTATTTCTTCATCGAGTGGGTTAAAATAAATCTGTGCTGAATGTGGGTGAAATATAGGATCTTGTTTCCTTCAGAGGAAAATCCAGGCAGCTGTTGAAATGTATAACGCATATGGTTATTTTTAGTTGAGAATTAGTATACTTGTAAATGGACTTAAAATATAGCCAGATCCAAATTGTGGTGACATCTTCAAAAGCATTGTGTTAAAAGCAGGAATGAATCATGTGTTCCCTTCTTGTCTAATTGTAACACTTTTATTCAGTCTCTTCAACTAGAAGTATTTGCCGGATGGAAGATTTGGGCCATGAGATGCCTCAGGGAAGTTCTGGTTACAGAGCAGAAGGCAAATTTCTCAGAGAAGAAGCAAGACCCAGTCCGGCCCTGTCCTGGGTCACGTCCAAGCCATGCCGAAGCATTCAGTTATCGTGGAGTGTGTTGGAGGGCATCCAGCTGTCCCCATGCCAGCAGCCACATGGAAACGTGGAAGCAGAAGACCATCTCTTGTTGGTACTTCTCCTCTTCCTTCTCTTTCTCTTCAAAACGGCCACTACTGAAGACCCAGCTTCCCATCTTCCTGACATTTTCTCTAAAACTCTCTGCCATGCCATACGGATCTGTGCTGCCATTGAGGATTCCGTTAATGAGGTCCCTTTTCCTAAAGGATTGGGCAGGAAAGTGGGAGCAAAGCAGAGAGAAAGGGGAAGGCTCTCTAGTCCCGTAGTGTCAGTGGGCTCCTAGGCAGCCCTGGGCTTGGTTGGAATGCCTGCTGTAAGGGATGCTGGTCAGACTCAGAGGCTGTCAGGAGGGCTGGCTACAGGAGAGTCAGCGGCCTGGGCATTGGCAGTGCCCATCACTGTAGCCAGAAGATGCCTCTGACCGGGGTGCAACTTTATTGTTCCCTAGTAGCAGTTTGCATAACTCAGCAAGAACCTTGGATGATGAAAGAGCCCAGAAGGACATGGAAGTTGTTTAGCTTAGACAGGAAAAGGCTTGGGGGGAAATCAATAATGAGAAGGGAGGATGAGGAGCTTCTCTTGGTTTCAGTGAGTAGAGAGTTAGAGACTGAACTTAAAATGCTATAGAAAGATTTTGCCTTGACACTAGGAAGGACTTCCTAAGCTGAAAACTTGTCATAGTGTCTGCTTTCTCAATACCTGGGAAAGGTTTGATAACAGTTGTTTGTGAGTGGGAAGGAAGATAAGGTGTTCTTATTGGCCATGTTGTAGAAACACCCATGTCTTGCTACTCTCTCTTGAGAACACATCTGATTGCATTCCTGGAGAATCCAAGTGCTTATGTAATGTCTCTTTAGCTGCCTTAGTAGTGAAACGTCATCAACTCCATGGACCCACATCACCTTTCGCCATGTGGTTTCTTCACCATCACGGATTTCTGTTGGTTGACCAATGTTCTGGCTCTCAGATCTAAAAAGCCACATTGGGAAATGAACTGTAAGTGGTAAAATTAATTTTGTATTTAGTTTACAACTACAATTATAGTTTTTTTCCTCTTTTCTGTTGCAATGAATAGCAATGGTTTGGGCTCCAGTGCATATAGATCTTTCCTTCCTTTGTGCACAGAATGTGACTAGCAAGCATGTCTACAGCAAAGGAATCCGATCACATCAGTTTTCCAGTTGGAAAATCTTTGTATAGTGGGATGTTCCCTCAGTGTGCTCGCCTTTCCATAGGTGAAGCAGTGGCTACATACCTTAAGGGAATTTTGCATTCCTTAAACTTTTAAATATATTAGTGTATTCTAGGCTTACTCTGAGGACCTTTGATATTAAAGGAATCCTGCAATTCTTCCATATTTTCCTAACTCTCAGAGCCGCAGTTATTTTAATACAAAGGTGATTTTCAAAATATTTAACAACTGGCTTAGGATGGGCACCATCCACTCAGAATGGACGCCTGCTGTCAACAAGCAATATGTGTGATCTGTCTGCTGAACGGCATGCTGCTTTCAAACGCTAAGATGATATCCCTTTGAGTTGTGGAAATTGTTCCTGATTTTTCTGATTTTCTACTTATAAGGAAGCCTCAATTCCTTTCATGTGGTGCAGACAGGAATAGGAATTATTTGAACCACACGGGCACTAAAATCTTTGTGAGCCATCGCTTCACATTTTGTCACTTTAGGATAAATGTAGTAATTGTGCCCATTTACATTTACCTACCTAATCTAGAAAAATCAAAAGGCAACCTGTCAAAGAGAAAAGCTTTCCTGCTAGCTTTACCCCATTCCTCTCTGGCTGCTTCCTGGAGTTTGCCTTCTTTCTCACCTTTGTTTTCGGAGAATATGCCTGTCTACGCTGTCTCTCCATGTTGCCCCTCCGTCTTCACCTGCCTCCTCTGGGTAGGGAAGCTGGTGACTGCTTCGCCTATTCCCTAGCCTCACGTAGTTGTAAGAAATATAACAGGAAGGCACTTTGTGCATTGAAACTGGGTGACAATATCTCTCAGAAAAATCTCTCTTCTGATACGCTGATGTCTTGTGATACTTTGTGTCTGCTCAGCTTCCTCAGAGTAAGGATCCCGCCTTTGTTAACTGTGCAGAGAGTGACAGGACCACCGGTGCACTTTGGGGTCCCAAACCAGACCCTCCCAGGTTGCTGCGCCTTAGGAACTTCCGCTGATTTCGAAGGCGGGCCAATACTTGCAGGCAACTAGGTTTTCCTAAGACAATAGCCAGACTCATTTCTGCTACATGTCTCTTCTGTTTCAGCTCCACCAAACACCCCGTCTCAGTCCTGGCTGCTTCCTTGGCTCAGGTCTGTTGCTGGGGTAGCAGAGTCAAGCTGGGCTGTGTGTGGAATAGCAAACTGGGAGAGGAGGTGAAGCAGCAACGTGTGTGTGTGTGCGCGCGGCGCACACATGTACATGCATATGTGGTTATCCGTAAGCTTTCATTGCTGCTATTAGTCAGTCCGTGCAACCTAATCTGTGGGGATATCAAAATAATATGATCATCCCCCATCTATGGATTCCCCCCTCAGACTTCTCCAATGGAATAGCTCAAGGACAAACATAGGCTGATTAGTCTGTAGAAAAAGGTGAGAAACTGACTTAGGGGTGGGAAACAAGGCAGCTAGTTATGAGTCCCTGGCCCTGGTGTTTGGGCCAGAGATGCAGTCACCTCTGTAGGACAAGGGCAGATTTCAGTTGAGCGTTGGTAGGCCCAGGGGCTGGTAGTGCAGAGGCCCGGGATTTAAGAAAGTGATAGTGGCCGAAACCGGTTTGGCTCAGCGGTAGAGCATCGGTCTGCGGACTGAAAGGTCCCAGGTTCGATTCCGGTCAAGGGCATGTACATTGGTTGCGGGCACATCCGCAGTAGGGGATGTGCAAGAGGCAGCTGGTCAATGTTTCTCTCTCATCGACATTTCTAACTCTCTATCTCTCTCCCTTCCTCTCTGTAAAAAATCAATAAAATATATTTAAAAAAAGAAAGAAAGTGATAGCGAACGGAATCTTGGTTCTAAGAGGGAAGGAAGAACTAGCATTGCTAAGAAGCTGTGCTACTTCCTAGCCCGTGACCTCTAAGGAAGGTCTGGAGAGAAGGGGAAGACCAGCAGAAATATGCTGTGTAGTTGTCAAATACATTTGGTTGCATAAAATGCAGGCCAGCTCTTTGAGGCTACATATGATTTCAGACTTCTGATGATGGGATAATCGGGAGATCTGATCTTTATCACATACAGCTCCTATCCCTGTCTCCTTATTCAGAGAAATTGGCCTTTAGGATAGAGGGGTAGTGAGCCATACATTTCCAAAAGACAGTGTGAACATATGCTGTGTTTTTTTTGTTTGGGATGGCTGGCTTTTAAATTAGTAAAAAATGTGTTTGTTTGTTTTTTTTAAATATGTTTCTATTGATTTTTGAGAGAGAGGAAGGGAGAGGGAGAAAGAGGAAAAGAAACATTGATGCAAGAGAGAAACATCTATGGGTTTCCTCCTGCACATACCCCAACCAGGGACGGAACCTGCAACCTGGGCATGTGCCCTGACCAGGACACAGGACGATGCTTAACCAACTGAGTCACACTGGCCAGTCATAAATGTTTGGTAAAATCTGGTACATGCTAAGTCTCAGGCTTGGTTGATGTCTCAGGCTATGACCACTGTGACCTTCAAGAGGTCTGTGATTCTAGGCATCTGTGGTTTCTAGTCATCCCAGACAGACAATTCCCAGTTCCACATCACTTTCTACCCACTCAACTCCAGACTCTTCTTTAAAAAAAAAAATTTATATATATATATGTGTGTGTGTGTGTGTGTGTGTGTGTGTGTGTGTGTGTGTGTGTGATTTTACAGAGAGGAAGGAAGAGGAGAGTTAGAAACATTGATCAGCTGCCTCCAGCACACCTCCTATTGGGGATGTGCCTGCAACCAAGGTACATGCCCTTGACTGGAATCGAACGCGGGACCCTTCAGTCCATAGAATGATGCTCTATCAACTGAGCCAAACCGGTTAGGGCCAGACTCTCCTTTTAGTAGAGGAGTCAGCATTTCTCCCTGAATCTTCTCCATTGATTTCAAGGTCCATGTTCTGAGACGCCATGACTTCCTGAAGCATAGGAGGAGACCTGATAACGTGTGTCAGAAGTATTACCCAGGATGTCTCTCTGCTACTTTACCAGCTTCTCTAAATTGCTTCTTTTGTAAGAGAGTTAGCACCTTCTAGTGCTTCAACAGTGTTTGCTAGCTAGCTGCTGCATTTCCTTGGACTTCTCAGCTTCCCAAGTCACGTCCTGGCAGGACGCTCAGGAGCCCTGCAGTGACCATCCTTTCAGTTGTAGCTGCCGGGCCTCCCTTGAGGGAGGAGGCCTTTCTGCGGGCCAGGGCTGGCCAGATCATCCAAGTTCTACCTTCTACTAACTCACCTTTTCCAAGCATCCTTTCCGCCTTTTCCTCGGTCTTTCTAGTTTTCCTTGGAGAGAAGAAGTTCTTGGTAAGAGGTTCTAAGAACCATCACCAGTTTTGAGGTTGGTGAGAGAGGTGAGGGGGTTTGCGGTTTCTTGCAAAGGGGCATTATGGTTGTTTTTCTTAGTTAGGATAAGGGATTATGGATTCTCAAGCTTTCAGAATCATCCATATTTCAGTATAAATATAAAAAGATATTCTGAAACCCCAAATAGAAGTGATTTTTTTTTACTAAAATTATTCTTTATTATTCTTTTAAAAAATATATTTTATTGATTTTTTACAGAAAGAAAGAGAGAGTGATAGAGAGTTAGAAACATTGGTGAGAAAGAAACATCCATCAGCTGCCTCTTGCACACCCCCTACTGGGGATGTGCCTGCAACCAAGGTACATGCCCTTGACCAGAATCGAACCTGGGACCCTTCAGTCCTCAGGCTGACGCTCTATCCACTGAGCCAAACCGGTTTCGGCTATTATTCTTTTTTAAAAATTTTATTAATTCTAGAGAGAGAGGAAGGATAAGAGAGAGCGAGAGAAAGAGAAAACTCTTGATTTGTTGTTCCACTTCTTTATGCATCCATTGGTTGCTTGTTGTGAGTGCCCTGACAGGGGATCGAGCCCACAACCTTGGCGCATTAGGATGATACTAAATCAACTTAGTTACCCATCCAGGGCTTTTCTTTATGGTTCTTGGTATCCTTGGCCTTTTATATGAATGGACAGTTGACTCAGTTAACATTTCTTTACCTGAAAGGAGGCTAATTTCATAACCAAAAGAGGTGTGGAGTCATGTTACCCATCACTGCTTGAAACAT